TCTGTATGGGGGTTTGCTTTCTCTTCGGTCCTTAATTCAATTTATTCCCTTCAAAGGCCAGATTACATGTCACGAAATGGATTATCGTAATAGTCCCGAAACGTACCGGTGTAAAGAGAAAAGCAATCCCCTTCCTTGGCCTTCCGTTCTCTTTGATAAGGGTGGGACTTCCCAACTGGCAGTGGTAGAAGAAAGTTGAGCTAACTAGAATTTCTCTAAGTTAAGGTTTAACTACTCGAGATCAGGTAGTAAATTGCGATAGTTATGGGGATCATACTTCACGATCTGATCAGGATGTATCAAAATGCCGAATGACCCACTATTAATAGAGAGATCACTGTTCTAAAATAGCCTGGGGATTGCGAGACAAGCTGCGAACACAGCCACATTACTAACGGCGGCTACTATCAGACTAAGCTTATGACAATACAAGACTCTATACATACGGACTTTGGGGAGATCTCTGAGCTTAGTATACAAAGTGTTCGGTGAGTACCACGTCGAGACACGTCGCTATGCATCAATCAATATAGTGGACATCTATAGTATCATGGGGCGCATAAAGCTATGACATCAGTCAAATAAAATCGCCAAAGTGAGATCTTCAAGATCATCAACCACGCTATTCAGTCTATTGATAAATGGCGGGCTCAGAAGGAGGAAGTCCAGAGGATATGCACCGCATATCCCAATAGCCTCTGGCGATTAAAGTCTTCCTGATTTTGTGATTGATTCTCTATGAAGGGCTTGAAATACCTAACGCACAATGGAACAAGGAATGTGAACCGAGTACACTTGTAGATCATGATCCACTAAATAGTTCCACCGTTCTGGGCTCAAAAACAGGGTATGAGGCGAACTACATTGTATGTTGTATGCATCAGAAAGTACTCCAGACAATGTACTTCGTAGGGGTCCGGTATGTCGCCCACCTAGGCAACGCGGCATACATCGTCACTCTAGCGCCGCGTTGTACTGCAACAATAATTCAGGATTGCCGATATGTGGAGATTAAGAACACGCATATATGCACATATATGGAACTTCGCCACTATTTCAGCTCAGCTGGAACGTGTTCGTCCCAGTTTGCAAGATAATACCTAGCATTCTAGAAGGCAAATCCTGACATCTTCTGCGAACCCGCCATGTGCATTCTTCACCATGCAGGAGAAGACGCCATCCCTGCTCAGCTGCAAAGTCATCCCAAATGATCCTGCTAGTGCATGACCATTGGCGCACCACGGACCCCATAATCGCTTTTGCCTCATGCAGACGACAGAAATCCATACAACATGTGCGGAGTACATACTGCAGGGTACTCCTATACATTGTACATCCTGCCGGAAGCACTATACGGGGTTCTAGTCGACACTATAACAGCACAGACCTGCATGGCCTCGGTCTCGGTCTGCCATGCAAAGAAGCGCGCTAAGAAGCAAGGAAGCATTCACCCCTTGCGACCCCATCAACCGCCCAGAACCACAAACCCCTCAATGCCAATATGTTCTCAGCCAAAAAAGAAAGAATATCCAGGTGATGTACAGCGCTTAAAAGAGCCAAGATGCATCAAATCGATAGATCGAACGCACTCACCCTCTCAGCTACGCACATCACAACGCCGTGGGGGTAAGCGGGGATGTGATTGTGATATCGGATACATCAGTGTCGGAGGGGCGGACCACCAATGGAAAGCGCACAACAAGCGATTCGCGCAACCGTTTTCTCAAAAAGGAGAGATGAGATCAGATCGCGGCCAACGGCTTATGCACGCCACTTTCCCCATTCCATTACAACATACATCAAACAAAGCGCAGTGGTCCTGTGGCATTGGACGGCTTGCAGAAGTCGTCATGTACGAGGCTCAATTTGGTAGGGCTTGTTCGTCACATCTGAACGAGGAATGAGATTGGATGAGTGCGGATACGCGCTGCAATCGGGTTCACCAGATGGAGGTGTGTGCGTCGGGGCTTTTGTGTTTTTGGCATCGAAGAACCGAGGCCTCTATTTTTGGTGTTAGTTTCGGGTGAATGGGAGAGGTGATGATGATGGTCTTTGTTCTTTACTGTCTTGTCTCGATTTGGTTATAGGTACTCTCGTTCCAGGTCCCCGCTCATCCCTGTCGCGAGGAAATGATCGGTGTCTATCCCTTGCTTATGCTTTTTATGGTTTGATCGGGTTTCGGGGCTCGAGGGTACGTGGCTTTGATTATCGTATTTTTTGCTTTTTCTCGCGTGTTTTTGTTCTGGGGGAAAAGTATGTTTCTGCGTTGGGTTAGATCTGTTTTTTGTTGGGAAGATGGTTTGGGGGATGCTTGTTTTTGGTTTATGCTTATTAGCTGTGAGGTTGTTTGGGACCGTTTTCCTCATCTGGACAATTGGTACTTTCGTGCTTTAACGTGGGAGTAGATGCTATTGATAATCTGAAGAATTGTGAGGTATTTATGTTTAGATATAAATTTACAAAATATACACAGAGATCAAGTAGTATACATGTCGATATTGTACAGTCAAAGCACATCCAGCGCCGAGTCCCCGCTATGCCAATATATCAAAGAAAAGAGACTCCCATCGAGTCATGCCCATATAATCCAGAATCAAGGGGACGAACGGAGCACGCCAGCAACAGCAGGGTCTTCTCCATCCATCTCCTTGGTAAACCCACTGCCCTTCCGCACATGCATCAGCAACCGCAAAGCACCAACAGGCGTTACACCTTCAATGCGCTTCGCCATGCCAACACTAACAGGTCGCACCCGCTGAAGAACCTGTCGCTCCTCATTGCTGATGCCATGCACCATACTGTAATCCAGATCCGCCGGCAGTAGCAAGTTCTCATCCTGTTGGAACCGCTCAGCCATCTTCTCCTGTCGCTTCAGGTACGGCGCATAGCGGCCTTCAATGGCGACGCGGGTGAGGATCTCCGGCGCAAACGAGGCCGGGGTATATGCGGTACCTGTAGGAGACTCGATGGTAGGAATAAGGGTGTTGATGTCGGTGCCGTCTAGACACAAGATGTCGAGCGCTGAGCGGATCGAGGTGTCGGAGCGCACCTTGAAGCCCTTGCGAGACCAAGCAGACGACGAAAGCTTCGTGTTACCGAGGAGAGTCTGCAGCTCCTGGATCTGCGCTTCGGTATCGGAGAAGTGTCTCCAACGCTTGTCGGAGACGACGCCAGCATCGCGGGCCATGCGAGTCAGACGCAGGTCGGCGTTGTCGGAGCGGGTGGAGATGCGGTACTCGCTTCGTGTTGTGAACATGCGGTAGGGTTCTGAGACACCCTTGGTGATGAGGTCGTCGATCATGATTCCGATGAAGCCATCAGACCGGGTCAGGGTGAGAGGCGATCGGTTCTGTGACTCGAGGCCGGCGTTCGTGCCTGCGATGATGCCCTGTCCGGCTGCTTCTTCGTAGCCAGTTGTGCCGTTGATTTGGCCAGCCAGATAGAGACCGCTGATGAGTTTTGTCTCTAGGGTTGGTCGCAGGTTGCGCGGGTCAATGTAGTCGTATTCAACGCCGTAGCCGGGCTGGAGCATGGTTACATTCTCAAGACCGCGGACTACTCGCAACATGGCGTATTGGGCGTCTGCGGGCACGGTCATTGAAATGCCATTCGGGTAGATGACGTCGTTTGGCGCGAAGCCTTCTGGCTCGAGCCAGATCTGGTGCTGGGTCTTGTCCTTGAATCGGATGATCTTTGATTCCAGTGAGGGACAGTATCGTGGCCCACGGACAGTCTCGCGGATGTGAATGGATTTGTCCAGATTGGCGCGGATGATTTCATGGGCAGCTTCGTTTGTATGGGTCATCCAGCAGGTAAGCTGGCCTTCGTCGCCCACATCGACAGTTTTGTTAAGGTAAGAGAAAGGGTGAGGCGGCGAGTCGCCCTTCTGCACTTCAAGGGCGCTAAAATCAATGGTCTTCTTATCCAATCGAGGTGGTGTACCGGTCTTCAAGCGTCCCAGTTGGAAGCCAGCTTCCCGGAGGGACTTGCTGAGACCGTATGTGGGAGCCTCGCCCATTCGTCCCGACGGGAACACATCCATTCCAATATGAATTTCACCACCTAGGAATGTGCCCGTAGTGATAACCACACGACCCGTAGAAATGACCTCCCCGGATTCCAACCGCACGCCAACAATCTTGCCCTGAGCACCGGGGGTGTTCTCAATGCCTTCCGTGGAAAGCACAATATCAGCCACCTTGCCCTCCACAATGTTCAGATTTTCCGTGCCAGCCAGCTCCTCGGACATATACCGCTTGTAGAGATCGCGATCGATCTGCGCACGCGGTCCCCAAACAGCCGGTCCTTTAGAACGGTTCAAAACTCGAAACATGACACCAGCCTTATCGATGATCCGACCCGCAACACCGTCCATTGCGTCCACCTCACGAATCATCGTTCCCTTCCCAATGCCGCCGAAACTGGGATTGCACGAACAAACACCGATATTCTCCAGCGAGGGCGTGACTAACGCGGTGCGCGCGCCAGAACGAGCAGCAGCAGCGCATGCCTCAGATCCAGCATGGCCTCCGCCAATAACGACGACGTCGTAGGGTCTATAAATGAATCAATTAGCGAGTAGTTCGCTCGGAATGACAGGGGAGAAACCACGAACCGTGTATTATCCGTAATAGTCGCGAAACCACGACTCCGACCCATAAATGAGCGGAGCCCGCGGCCCTGACGCATCAGAGCCACCGACCGTGCTCGAAAAGCCATGGCGGGATGCAATGCAAATGTTAACCCAAAAAAAAACAGGTACTCCGTTTAAACTTGATCAAATCAAATCGATAAGGAAAATTGTATCTATCACGTGATTGTACTTATACCCGCTAACCCCGAGGGCGGTCACACACTACACACTGACTTAAGCGCTTGCGCCATCGGCCAATTGCGGGGCTGCTGATATTCAGCTGTAAGCTGATCTGGACCTTTTTTCAACAACTGACCCCTCTCTACATCTTTAATTTACCAGCTCCACCAGCGAGACAATCCAAAAAATGAAGGCATACTGGTACGACAACGTCGAGGTAAACACATCCCAATTGGGCCGTATCCAGCTTCCCAAGCATTTCCAGGTACAGCCCACCTCAGACTAGAACAAACGCTGATGTCATTTGTTTACAGGGCGACCAGCGCGAGAAGCATGACTCCGGCCGCACCGTGTCAGAAGAGAAGCTCGCCTCGCTAGGCGTGCTGTACAAGCACTGCCCCACAATCGCGGATGTGGACGCGATCGCCGCGGAGCGCGGATACCGTAACCGCGACGAGGTCTGTGTCTCGCCTGCGACGATGGGCGCCATATACGAGGAGAAGGTTAAGTCGTTCTTCACGGAGCATTTGCACGAGGACGAGGAGATTCGGTATATCCTCGACGGGGAGGGATACTTCGATGTGCGTGGGCAGGAGGACGAGTGGATCCGTATCTGCCTTGTCAAGGAGGATATGATTATTCTTCCTGCGGGGATTTACCATCGGTTTACTACCAATGAGCAGAATGTATGTTCTTTTGGATTTTGTGGTTTTGGATTATGGGACTGACTCTGCTTGCAGTACGTTAAGGCCATGCGTCTTTTCCAAGACGAGCCTAAGTGGACGCCGTTGAACCGTGGTGCGGAGGTTGATGCTAACCCGCACCGCAAGACTTATTTGGAGACTGTCGTCAGTCCTACTGCGGCTGTTTAGGATGGTCAGTTTGATATTGAGATGCGTTATGACTGGATTCTTTGCACATAGACTACTGGACGATGGAAATGGGAAATTTTTGATATTGTCTTACATCACTTCCCTTGCATGGAGCTTTTGAATGTACGTGGGGACCAGAAACCCACAGTAAATCAATCGAAACCATACTTAAGTAGGTAGGAATGGTCGAACAACACTTTTTACGTATATCAATTGTCTGGTATGCCAGGCGTCCCAACTGGCGTACCCGCCGGCATGGCACCAGGCATTTCAAAATGGTCACTCGTAGCACCACCACTCTGTTGCCTCGTCATACTCGAGCTCCGCAAGCCACCCATATCAACATTGAAACTATTCGTGCGCGAGCCAGCACCAAGCCCTAACCGTGAATCCAGGGCCCCACGGAACCGCAGCCCCTCCGGCTCCCGACCATGATCATCAGAAAATCGGGGCGGTCCAGACGACTCAGTAGAGCCAGCGCTACGCGGTGGCGCCGTTGACCCAGCATCCGAGTCCTCACCGGGTCGGACGCCTGTTCTGCCCATGCGCGGCCACAAGTCTGGAAGTCCGACTACTTGCACTCGAGGCTCGACAACGCGCTCCTCAAACCATGCGTGCACTCGTGCTTCGACGAGCTGTGCTATCTTCGGTACATCCTGCAGTCGGCTGCGGGATCCGATGAGTGAGCGCACGGAGAGGTCTCAGGCGGTAATCTGGGAGGAAAGAGAATGCGACGTTGCTTTTCGGGCTGCTTTTTGGTGGTAGCTGGTCTTGCGAGGCTGTGTGCTCTCCGGGACCGGAGGGTCGGTTCCCTGTATTGTCCCTTGGGTCTGATGTGGGGGGGTGCTGGTGATCCGGCAGGCGTTTGAAGTGGTTCTGGCGGTTCGGTCGACGCGGGGATCAAGGATATGCAAAGCGTTCCGGAAAATCTCACAACCGAGACTGATAGAGCTATTGGTATGATGGCAGAGCGTGGTTTGGGGTAGTTCAGAAGCATGGATGTCTCGACGGCAATGGAAAGGTTGTCGTCGCTAAGGTCGACATCCAGTAGCGCCTGTAGGCGTCCGCCGTCCGACACGGGATCGTCAACGGCAATGATGCGGCAGTTGCTGAAAATGGGAAACTCTTCGCCTAGTGAGATATCGGTGACTTTTATCTTGTCTATGAAAGATGGTTTCTTCTCCGGGTTGTTCATGGCTGCCGTTAGGGAGCTGAGGATTGATGAAGTGGGTGAGTCCTTGAGGGAATAGGCTGTCTCCCTGTATTGAGCAATTGTCTGTGCAATGAGTACGTTGAACCAGTCCAGTGACTCAGGCTGATGCGAGGAGTGATGCATGCGGTGTCGGCCATGTTTGCTCGTAGGGTTGGTAGGAATGGCACTATAGTAGGTTTTGCGGAGGATGGAGCGGGTGTTTGTAGAGGTGGAAGGTACCGGACGGAGAACGTTCGACGTGGACGGTTTTTCTCGTAATGATTTCTGGCTATCTTGAGGGGGGCTATAGACGGAGCTGTAGCGGCGGTGGGTTGTGCGGTTTGACATGCCCCGGGATGGAGGGGGTGGCGCTTCACCAAAAATGAAAAATTTGATGAAAGCGCCGATCAGGAGTACTACTGAGAGCTGGCCGAGAAGAAACCCTTGGGTAAAGGACAAGCTAAGACAATGTTAGCAAGATTATATAGTCCACTCCACGGGCAGAGGGCGTACGAGGATTGAGGCGCGAATGGCGCGGGCTCATCTGCATTACTGTCAGTGTACCAGTTCTAGAGCTTCGGGATAGGATAACTCACGTTGTTGGAGCGCCATTGTCAGCGGCTTGTCGACAACCCGTCTTCACGATACCATCCCCAGATGGCGAAGATGTTCCAACTTTCGGATCTCCAGGGCTTGGCCGCATACCTCTTATCGCTGATATGCCACTGTCGACCGCCTGCCTCTAATAATTTTAAGGAAGTGTCCTTATCTACTTTGGGACTAGCGTCAATAGCATCTATAAATTGTGACGGCACTGGTTTCGCTTTAGTGCTCATCCTGTCATCTATTGCCAGATTTTGGTTTGAATTGAGCTGGCCCTGAGGTCGCAAATGATTCCTGTACGATCTATACAAAGAAACATGGTAATCCACTTAGGCCTTAGGTGTACATATAAAAACTATGCCGAGGTGAACTCCCAAGTCATTGCCCTACAGCACTATTTACTCTATCACTTGGCCTGCGGGACTGAGGTGCCGACCTGGAGTAAACCATGGAAGCGCGACGGCTGGTACTTTCCTTCCGAGCATCGGACAGTTGCTGGGCGAAGGGTGATTTTTTGCGCATCACCGGCCCCTTCCAATAGATGACGTAGACGGAGGCCACAAGGAGACAGGAGATGCAAACTAGAAGGGCGTTAGAAGAGTGGAATACGTTGACAGAGTGCAATGTAGGGGGGAGGGCACATACATAGGATGGTAGATGCGTATTCGAGATTACGGTCCGGAGCACCGATATCTGGTGATCCGATGTTAGCTGTGTCTTTTGTCATTAGAATAGGAACGGAGGACCAACGTACTGCTAAAGAATGGTGTAGCCGGCACAGTGAGAGCACCTGCGAGTATGTCTCTTGAGAAGCCATTTCCACCGGTAGCGGAAGCAGAATAAGGACCGTAGGCGCAGATCATGTAGTCGATGGTGGTCATATAGATGGTATAGTTCGCGATGCCAACAATAGCTGCAAACACCATGGTTCCTATCCAGTGGATTGGGGGCCCTAGACTCGTCCACGCAAAGCCAATCAGGCCAATGGGGAGGCATGGGGAAGTGTACAGTAGCCACCAGAGGCGGGATTCATATTGCGCATGTTCATCATCAGGATTCTTCTTTCTCTTGGCGGAATTCCTGCGCAGTACTGGGTACATACTGAGCCAGGCAATGATATAGCCCACTAAGATTGGGATGAAGGACAGGCCTATAGCAACAGTGCTGAAGTGCCACTGCTCGTAGACCAGGCTGAAAGATTGAATAAACATGAAGATTAGAGCATCGCTGAAGCCACTGAGCAAAGACAGGGTCAGCACGATTGGCTCTGTTGCCAGCATCTTGAAAGGGCGCATCCAGGTGATAAGGATTTGACTCAAAGAAAAACGTTCTTTAAAGGGCTGGAATTCATCAGGCCCACAGACATTAAGGCCAGTCTCCTTGCGCTGTTTCTTGGCGTAGTTATCGATCATGATAGTCGCCCGGGTTTCAGGAACAAGCAGAAGATGGCAGATCTGAACAAATCCACCAAAGATCAACTGGATCCACATAGCCCAAGGCCAGGGCTGGAAGGCCTCAACGAAGCCTCCTATTAGAGGCCCTAGGACCGAACCACCCACTGATGAGAATACCACACATGCTACTGCATAGTGCTGATGCTCTGGCTCCCACATGTCCGCAATCATCCCCAGTGTAACTGAGCCGCCAGCCAGACTGATACCACCGAATGCCCTCCCCACCATGATAGTCGCAAAATTAGGCGCAAGAGCAACAGGGATTTGCCAAATATTTGTGAGGAGCATGCTGAGTTGTAAAATAGGCTTGCGCCCTAACTCCTCACTCCAGGGTGCCCACAGCTCGCAGCCAAATGCATAAGTCACCAGGTAGATCATAGCACCACAGCGTGCAGCCTGGAGACTAACACCAAATTCTTCCGAAATACCACCGATGGCATTGGAATACAAGCTGGTGTTGAAGTTCATCGAGGTCTGGACCAGGAAGATGACCGAAATGATCATCCATTTTTTCCAGTTTGGGAAGCAAAATCCCAATTGATCATAGCAATCGTCTTCATTCAGGACAATATAACCGTTTCGCTCTTGCACATCAAGCGAGCGTCTTCCAGCGGCAGGAGTATGACTCGACGGCGGCTTTTCCGAGTCCAAAGAGACAGAAAAGGAACGGCGCTGGTCGTGGATGGGTTGGAAGTGGACGCCCTCGTCTGTCCCAGAGTGGGGAGGGCCCAGCGATTGAAGCACTTTATTGCTACTGCTATCCCCATTGCTGCTCATATTGATTCACTTTCATGAAGTTAATGGGTTCCTGGAAAAGCGACCGTGTAATTGGCCGGCATGAGAAGGCCGACGTTCAGGATTCGGTTGTGAAATTGAAATTGACGTCAAACAAACAAGATATAAAGACCTATAATCCGAGAAAGACCAGTAATTAAGGCGGAGTATTAAATGGACAGAGAGAACCGCGGAAATATTTAAATTCCAGGCTTCTTGCCAATTCAAATATATGGGGGTTCGATGATGTAGATGCCCGTCATAATATCCAGACTAACCCGATCATCCAATAATGGAATGATATAACCCCAGTATGAACCTGCATAGGCTGACCAAAACCTGGGACGTCACCTTGCATGTATTTCCCACTTGGAGAACAACTACGCCGTCCCCCACAAATTGGAAGCGGGATCAACCGACGAGGATGACGACACCACCTCGCTGGACACAAAGATAGCTCTACTTTACACGACGACCCAGCATATTCATTTCGTCCATTCTCCTATAGTTTTCATCCGTGTATCTATAGCAGCTCTCTTAAACAAGGGTGTGGAGTGGATCCGCGTCATCTGCTTAGAACATACCACAAATAGTAGATGTGGGGAACTAATACTTCGATAGCCCCAATGCAGAAATCTTAAGATGGTCTCATCTCTCATAAATGCCTGTGAAATCAGGCTTTGTTTGTTGCTAGCAGACTGATCACTTGTTTGTTAGATGTAGCATATAAAAGGTGCTCTTGTTAGATTTAACGATCGTACATTCTTCTCTCTCTCTTACTCTCTCCTCTAGCAACAGAACAAGAACAAATGCTACTGGCATAGACTTTGCGAACCAAATCGACAAGTTCAAAACCCCGGCAGGCTTCTTCCACTTGTGGTGCCTTATACGACAACCAGGTCTATATATATACCCCTGGTCTTTTCTACCATCCCAACTCATCTCATCAATTCGAGATGCATTCCCTGGTTCCGTCAGTGCTCACATACTCCTGACTTGTTGGCAGTTCACAAGATATCAATGGAGGCTTGTGGGGGAAAGTGAGCCCCAGATGGAATCGGAGGGTTTCCAGTCGGTTACACCCTTGCGTCCTTTCAGGGTACTGCTGAAATCGTCCAGTCAGGTTATACCATCAGCGAGCGATAAGCCTGGCAACTTCGCCCAGCAGGCGGCAGTAGGCCTACGATTACGGCTCCCAGGTAATCCAGGGCTGGAGGCAATTCCGACCGAGAAACTATACATACACAGCTATGCGAAGGTACAACCCGCTACAACACTAAGCTGGGAAAAAAGACAACAAAAGGAGACACCAAAAAGGACACGACAACTGTCGGAGTGTGGTCATGCTCTTTTAGGCTGGCTGATCTTCGTCATCGCGATAATATCGGAACGGGGAGCTGGTATACCACCCAGCAGTCTATCATCCATGGGACCCAGTACACCCAGTACAGCTGGGAAGAAAGGACACGGGTGCTTGGCACAGCTTTGTTATGGAGGACAATTAGAGACACTGATACTGTTCAACGGGCCTCAGGCAGTGTCTTGTGCTTAGGCGAACTACAGCACGAGATGGCCAAAGCACTACTCTTTCAGAACTTTCAGGGACCACTGATGCCCAGTGAGCATGTGGAAATCCGCAATGGTGATGATTTTCCTTCCTTGGAAGGGGGTTTCTGGGTTCTTCTCGCCTCAAGTCAGAAACTTGCGAATCATAACGATAGGATGCATCTATACGTCCTGAAAATTCTGCACGTCCCAAGGGGGCTGCAACAGCGTAAGCCTGTTTGAGAGGAGAGTCAGCCGTTGGAGGGTGTTATTGATTATCAGGCATTATCTTTCAGATACCTCATCGCTTTGGGCGAAAAACCAAAATACGAATGAGAATGTTTCTGCCAACATGTTTTTAAGACAGCCGATGCTATTGTAGAACCCAAGTGTTTGTTGCTCCATAAATGTAAGATTCAATCCGAGCGAGCAAAATCGACCAAACCTTGGAATGGAGCGTGAATACCGAAATGGAAATGTGGGGCGTGCATCGACTTTGGAGATTGGAACCTCCCGCGGTCTCCACAACGCTTAACTATATTGAGTGGAGTCAAAGAACAACTCTTTGTCAATTGAGATGTGGTATTACTCCTCTTAGAGTCTGGTCTGACATTTACACATAGTAGTACTGATAAGTATTCAACGTTTTCTGTGAAAGAAATTCATTTAGCCTCTAAGCTTGTGTACTAAAAACTACTTCCTCCTTGTTCTGTACATGTACGCGAAGATCACCTGGACGGGTACATACATGCCATGGGCGCTGTCCAGAACTTGAAGCCTACTTAGGTAGTCGCAAGGTGCCTTTAATTACGGGTTCTATCGCCCATTTAATGCAATGGCTCCTAGATCTTTTAAGCAGTAACTGCACGGACCCGTCTCCCGGGCCCCTCCGCCCAGCTTACCAAATTAGGCGCCAATACCTTTCCAGTCGTTATTCAGTTTGCTCCTTTCTTTCATTTTTACCCTTTATAAGCATACACTTACTTCACAATGGATTTTGTGGACCAAGCTAGTCCTGAAAATGAGGTTGAGTTGGTAAAATCACTCCAAGACTTGACTATAGTCGAGTCGTGGAAAGATGGGAAGCTGAAATCCACTACCTTCTACCATGTCACAGAGGATGAGGAGGTTTCCTACGGCTATACGCCAAAGAACAAGCGCGAAATGACTATCGCGGAATTCAATTCATCTCTACGACGTGTCCAGGACAAAGATATTTATCCAGAGATCCCCACCGACGTCCAGTTGACGCTTGCACCGGAAGGGCTGGGCTCTTCTTTAGTTTATGTGAAACGGCCAGGCCTACAGTGGTACGAGGATATGATTGGGACGAACCATCTCCCTAAAGCCGTTCTCGATGAGACAATCGTCATGGAGCGGATCTCAAGATCACCACACCGAAACGTAATTCGATATTATGGCTGTCGTGTCAAACGTGGTTACATCACGCCGATCGTTCTCGAGCGACTGGATCAAACACTGAGCGAGTACGCCTCGACATCTGATTTCCAGCAGCTCGACAAAGTCAAGTTTTTCGAATCCCTCAAGTCGGCGGTGGAGCATCTACACACCATAGGGCTAGCGCATAATGACATCAATCCGAATAACATCATGGTGAAGAATGGATCGCCGGTGTTGATTGACTTTGACTCCTGTCAGCCTTTCGGAAAACGTTTACAGTCTTTGGGCACGGAGGGATGGTATGAAAAGCTGTTTTATACTTCTGAGAAAGAGCATGACATGTATTCTCTCGGAAAACTACAGGAGTGGCTTCAGACTGCTAAGTGATTTTAGAGTAACGCATTGCATTGCATTGTATATTTGGGAGGTATCTCTTTTCACTTAAAGACATGCTTAACGCCTCGTATCTCGATACATTATATAAGAACTGCTAAACATTACATGAAAGGAAAAGCTTAAACTCAGACTATATTTATACGTTATAAACAGATGTAAAACAGTATCTACAGAGGAGTGTAACCCCCGCACTCCCTGGGAAGACAATTTGTTTGTATATTGTTAGTACCCTACATACATGGGGTGGTTAGATTTAGAAGGGAAAAGACAATTGACTACGTGAGAGATGACAAGATACCTGTAGAGGGGAGCAATTGCCTCAGAGGTAGTTGCTGGTAGGAGGACCCCTCAGAAGCTTTGCCATCACGTGAGGCAACCCAACCTCCTGAGCTGAACAACTATTATTAGATGGAACTGTTCTTCCTGAAACCAGCGGCTCTTGGTATCTGCAAGCTACAACATGTCAGCCCATGATAGGTAGAGAACCAGACAGTTGATCCCGAGGATGGAGTCATTTGGCTCCACTAAGCATTCAGGTATTGGCTATTTGATCTTGAACGCCGAACTCAGCCCCGCGATATTTTACACGTACGAGATACGGTGTACCGCCTAGCGAACCGCTGTTTGCCTGGAAAAACATTTTTCTGTTGACAAGCTTAGCAGCCCACGCGCGCTGAAATCTTCGTTCTATAAACCTTCGAAACCCGAAAACCAGAGCACAATATGCATATACGAAAGAATTTCAAGAAATGGACCGAGAATCTACCGCAACGGAGAAAGAGGAGGACCAATGGAGCGCATGGAGACTGCCTGAACGTCTCTCCGACCGCAGAGGCAAACGCGCCTGGCCCTTCTGAATTGTCGGCTACAGCAAACTCTGTGAAGCCTTCTGGACCTGCTGGAAATCTTGACAAGCTCTCCAAGCCTGATTCAGTAAATTGTCATGCCAATACCGTCTCAGGTCTTCCCGAATTCCCTCAGGCCGAGAAGACCATACCTGATCCACCGTCTTCTCCCCCCCAGGCTGAGGAGACCATACCCGATCCATCATCTTCTCATACGACTCCAACCTCATCAAGTGATAGCAATGACCCCTGGGAGTTGGCGTATGGAATCTTGCAGGCTCGAGAGCCCAAGTTGGTAGAAGCTTATCAGGCTCACTTGGGATTAGCACAGCACGATAACTCAATGCACGCAAATCTTTCCAATCCGCGGTCAGTCGAGTCGGTGATGACGAAGTTGCTGGAAGACCGGGAGAAGAAGCAGTGGCGATTCTCACTCCTGGGAAAGGATGTGAAAATACGAGAGCAAACCGAAAAACTGGCCAAGTTTCTCCTCTGGGCCGACCCAGTAGTGAAGAGCGCCGTTAGCACTCAACCATACGCAGCTTTGGCATGGGCTGGCGTCTCGTTGCTTTTATCTGTAGGTCATGGCAACCCTATTGTCTATCTAATGCTGACCCAGGTAGCTACTCTCAAGCAGTACCACTAGCAATCTGGCGATGCTAAAAGGCTTCGATTCAATCCACAGTATTCAGATCTACTGGGGTATCTTCGAGAAGAAATACCTGCAGTCCAAGCATAGGGAAGAGTACCAAGATCTCCTTGAGCCCCTTGCTGCTCTCTACTCGCATATCATCGAATACCAAGCGCGTGCTATCTGCCATCTTTCCAAAGCCCAACTCTCTCGCGCATGGGTGAACATAGCCGGTGAAAGCGACTGGGATGAAATGATCTCAAAAATCGAATCATCAAGCGAGGCTTGTAGCTCCCATCTTTCTCATTACGTGTTGGAAGAGACTCGCAATAATCGAGATAGTCAGCTCCAGGAGATCAGAGAGTCTCGGAGTATTCTTGAGGAGATTTGCAATGTCCTAAAAGCGGATACGAGTCGTAACAAGAAGGACTACGAAGACCAGAACGAGCGAAACCTTCTTCAAGCACTCGCGTCCGACTACGAAGATGACAAGAACTACAACCCACTGCGAGTCCCAGACACATGCGAATGGTTCTTTCAGGGTAACGAATTTCGAAACTGGCGCGACAGCGACTGTTCTACTCTCCTGTGGGTTTCCGCCGGCCCTGGCTGTGGAAAGTCGGTTTTATCACGGACTCTTATCGATGAGAACCGGCTTTCTACGAATGTCACGACATCGACGATCTGCTATTTCTTTTTCAAGGATGGAGATGAGCGCCGTATGTCAGCCACCAATGCTTTGTGCGCATTCCTTCATCAGCTTTTCACCCACGATCCGACGGGCACGCTGATCCAAAATGCGGTCATCAGCCATAAGAATCACGGTGCAAATCTAGCAAATAACTTCTCCGAACTGTGGCGTCTTTTTATCCAATGTGTCAGCTCGCCAGAGCTTGGGGAGGTAATTTGTCTCCTGGATGCCCTGGATGAGTGCAATGTCAATAGCATGCGGCAATTGCTCAGCAATCTGAAGGAGCTCTACTCTAAACCCCAGCTTTCATCCTCAACCTCAAAACTGAAGTTCCTGATCACGAGTCGCCCTTATGATGATTTGGAGCTATCGTTTGATGGTTTTCCGGATACAAGTGCTTATTTGCATTTTGATGGAGACGACAAGTCTGCCGAAATCAGCCACGATATAGATTTGGTTATCGATGCCAAACTACAGAAGGTCGCCAGGAACTTTCGAGAGAGCGACCGTCAAATGATTTCCAAACAGATCAAGGACATGAAGAATCGCACTTACCTCTGGCTACACCTCACATTCGATATTATTGAGCAGAGCCCAAGCGCGTATAGTCGACGGTCTGATGTCAAAGAACTTCTCTCCGGGCTACCTTCGAAGGTCTCAGACGCATATGAAAAGATTCTAGACCGCAGCGAGAACGAGCTTCAGACAAAAACTCTTCTTGAAATTGTTTTGGCTGCATCACGACCTCTCTCACTTGATGAAGCCAATATAGCCTTGACGATAGCTTTGAACAAGGACGGTTTCGATTCATATGACAGTCTAGAGGCAGACCTATGGCCACAAGACGACTTCAAAAGCGTCGTGAAAAATCTATGCGGTCTATTCATCAATGTGTACGATTCGAAGTTGTTTTTCATTCACCTGACAGCGAGAGAGTTCCTCACCGATCCCGATCAGAGTGGAAAGTGGAAGGGCCGGCTGAGTATGACACAGTCGCACAAGAGGATGGCGCTGGCGTGTCTATCATACTTGTCGCATCTAGGTGGGCAAGGATCGGCGATGAAAATCAGTGCGAGGTTTCCGTTGGCTCAGTACTCAGCCCTGCATTGGATGGATCATTCACGGCCTACGGAGACAGAAAATGACGTTCTGGACAGCATCTTGAGGTTTTTCCTCCAACAAAGTCAAGCGTTTGCAGATTGGTGGAAGCTCTTTAACGCATGTCAACCTTGGGTGCGAATTGGACACTGCGAAATGGGGACTCCACTATATTATGCATCGCTCCTCAATCTCCAACGAACAGCACAAGTCCTATTAGATAAGGGCGCGGACAGCAACGAGCAGGGCGAACATGGAAGTGCACTCCAGCTAGCTTCAGCTAAAGGCCACGAAGCAATCGTGAATCTCCTCCTACCTAGTGGCGCGGACATTCACGCGCAGGGTAAGTATGGAAATGCACTCCAGCTAGCTTCAGCTGAAGGCCACGAAGCAATCGTGCAGCTGCTCCTAGCTAATGGCGCGGATGTCAACGCGCAGAGCCAGGCTGATCATATGACTGCCCTCCAGCTAGCTTCAGCTGAAGGCCACGAAGGAATAGTGCAGCTACTCCTAGCTAATGGCGCGGATGTCAACGCGCAGGACCAGGATAATCATATAACTGCCCTCCAGGGAGCTTCAGCTAAAGGCCACGAAGGGATTGTGCAGCTGCTCCTAGCTAATGGCGCGGATGTCAACGCGCAGAGCCAGGCTGATCATATAACTGCCCTCCAGCTAGCTTCAGCTGAAGGCCACGAAGGAATAGTGCAGCTACTCCTAGCTAATGGCGCGGATGTCAACGCGCAGGGCCAGGATAATCATATAACTGCCCTCCAGGGAGCTTCAGCTAAAGGCCACGAAGGGATTGTGCAGCTGCTCCTAGCTAATGGTGCGGATGTCAACGCGCAGGGTAAGCGTGGAAATGCACTCCAGCGAGCTTCAGATAGAGGCCACGAAGCAATCGTGAAGCTCCTCCTAGCTAGTGGCGCGGACATTCACGCGCAGGGTAGGCATGGAACTGCACTCCAGCTAGCTTCAGATAGAGGCCACGAAGCAATCGTGAAGCTCCTCCTAGCTAGTGGCGCGGACATTCGTGAATACGCGCAGGGTAAGCACGGAAATGCACTCCAGCGAGCTTCAGCTAGAGGCCACGAAGCAATCGTGAAGCTCCTCCTAGCTAGTGGCGCGGATGTCAACGCGCAGAGCCAGGCTGATCATATAACTGCCCTCCAGGGAGCTTCAGCTAAAGGCCACGAAGGGATTGTGCAGCTGCTCCTAGCTAATGGTGCGGATGTCAACGCGCAGGGTAAGCGTGGAAATGCACTCCAGCGAGCTTCAGATAGAGGCCACGAAGCAATCGTGAAGCTCCTCCTAGCTAGTGGCGCGGACATTCACGCGCAGGGTAGGCATGGAACTGCACTCCAGCTAGCTTCAGATAGAGGCCACGAAGCAATCGTGAAGCTCCTCCTAGCTAGTGGCGCGGACATTCGTGAATACGCGCAGGGTAAGCGTGGAAATGCACTCCAGCGAGCTTCAGATAGAGGCCACGAAGCAATCGTGAAGCTCCTCCTAGCTAGTGGCGCGGACATTCACGCGCAGGGTAGGCATGGAACTGCACTCCAGCTAGCTTCAGATAGAGGCCACGAAGCAATCGTGAAGCTCCTCCTAGCTAGTGGCGCGGACATTCGTGAATACGCGCAGGGTAAGCACGGAAATGCACTCCAGCTAGCTTCAGCTAAAGGCCACGAAGCAATCGTGAAGCTCCTCCTAGCTAATGGCGCGGATGTCAACGCGCAGGGTAAGCATAGAAATGCGCTCCAGCGAGCTTCAGCTAGAGGCCACGAAGCAATCGTGAAGCTCCTCCTAGCTAGTGGCGCGGACATTCGTGAATACGCCCAGGGTAAGCATGGAAATGCACTCCAGCGAGCTTCAGATAGAGGCCACGAAGCAATCGTGCAGCTGCTCCTAGCTAATAGCGCGGATGCCAACGCGCGGGCCCGTGAAGAACCTCGACCTACATGCCCTCCACCTAGCTTCAGCTAGAGGCCACGAAGAGATTGTGAAGCTGCTCCTAGCTAATGGCGCGGATGTCAACGCGCGGGGCCAGGATAATCATATAACTGCCCTCCTGCTAGCTTCAGCTGGAGGCCACGAAGGGATTGTGCAGCTACTCCTAGCTAATGGCGCGGACATTGCTTTCCTATTCAGGCCCCTGGGAAGGGATTGAAAACCAAAGACACGAAAAAAGACAGGAAAACTGTAGGAGTGTGGTCATACTATTTAAAATAGACAGGTAACAGGATGAAGCTATTCCCACTATTCAAGTGGGCATAGTCGTTCAATTTCAGGCGTTGAAGCCATTCCCACAGTATAAACGCCTATAATCTCCGTATCCTCCGCCACTGACTCCGATGTGGTAGAGTACCTGTAGTTGCTATAAAGACCAATGGATCGTACACAGTCCCTTGGGATTGAGACTATGATGCACAACGCGGAAGCATTTCAATTTATCTCCTTTCTAAGAAAAGTCCGGGTGCTTTCATAGAGTTTTCGAAAGAACCAGTCTACATCTGGTGTGCATTGCTGTCCAAGGTTATGGCGGGCTTACCTGGTGCGTCATGAGCTCTATACAAAACTGTGCATTGGTAGCAACATTACAATACATATAGAAGGCGCGTTTAAATTTATACTCGATTGGTTCAGTTGCCAGGCAGCGGGAACTGTGTTGCATGCCGTCGGGCTTTACATCAGACATTCCTCCGTTTTATAGGGAACTAGATCCCTCCTTGTGATCTTCATCGGAACTGGGGGCGGATACTTGACTGCGCTGATTCTGATACCATCTCTCACATCCTGGTCAGGATCAACTAGTTCCAGCTACGTAGATTCGTCAGTTCACTTGGTGGTCTTTTTCCAAGAAGAATTCGGAGAGGGGTTACTCACATCGAAATTCATCAGCAACAGTGGCAGCGTCTTCTTCATCTCCAACCACGCGATGTGGACTCCCGTGCAGATCCTTTTGCCGGCACTAAATGTCAGAAACGAACGATCCATTTGTCGGCGCTGGTCTTCATTTGCTTCAATCCACCTCTCCGGTCTATACAAATCCGAATCGATGCCGTAGACATCTTCATCCAGGTGAGTGGCATCGATCTGGCATCCAACAATAGTGTCCCCGGGAATAAATTTGCCCGCAATCATCACGCCTGCCAGGGGAACGACTCGGTCAAGGCCCCAGGATGCGATCGGAAGAAGTCGCATCGACTCCTTCAGTACCGCATCGAGGTAAGGCATGTGCTGCACCTCCTTCCATTTAGGCGTGCTAGACAGTGTACCAGCGCGGAGGCTTTCTTCGATCTCTTGCAGAAGTTTGGACTTCGCGGTGGGATTCTTTGAGAGGAAGTATAGGGTATATGTCAGAGTACCAGCCGTGGTGTCAGCGCCTGCACCAATGGTGGACATGATGATACCCAGGATCTCATCCTGTCGCAAGAGGTCGGGGTATTTGGCCTGGCCTTCAAGGAACCTGGAGCAGAGATCCGCATAACTTTGCTTATCAGGATCATTCCTTCTCGCTTCCAGCTTGCTCATCCCAACCCTGGCAAGTGGACTGTCACCGGCTCCTCGTAGAAGCGTAGCAAGTCGGCTCTTATTGAGAAGGAAGTCTGCATCAGGCATCGCGCCCCATTGGCCCCAATGGTCGAATCGCGCCATGACGGCAGCAAGCGTCCCGTCAATATCGTCGCCCTTGGCCAGTAAGCCGAGGGTGTCGCTGAAAGCAATACGAATCAACATGTCCATAGCGAAGAATTGAAGCCACTGGCCGACGTCGGTCTCCGGATTCTCGGTGAGAACATTGACAAGCTCCTTGCCGGTGGCTTCGATAGAATCTTCGTAGTCCAGTAGAGAGTTGGTAGTAAAGGCACGGCCGACTGATTTGCGCACCGCCGTGTGCTGTTTCTCGCTCATGGCGATGATGCTGGGCACAGCCCGTTTCTTGCTTATGGGAACCGCTCCATAGTAGGAAGGACCCTTCTTCCATGTTGGGTTTGTGCTGTAGACGATAGGAATGGCTGCTGGGTCGCTGATGCTGACATGGTTGGGCCCCAGGCGTACGAGCTTTCCATGTTCCTTGTGCAGTGCGATGAGCCTTGCAGTGTGGCCTTTGCTATTCTGAGAACGGAATCGCCAAAGATCCGTGAACTTGGCCCAGAATGGACCGGGGATATCCGCTAGCCGAAGGTAGGACCTCAGCAGTCGCAGAACGAGGATGCCAACTACGGCAAAGATGATAGCGATAGCGGCTGGCATTTTGAGGCAGGCGTAGTTCTGAAGAAAATAAAGTCGCCTGAAGAACTGATTGACTTACATGAGGCTAGAGAACCACATGATCGCAATTTTAAACTTGGTCAGTTGAGCTGTGCACAGTATCGCATCTGTTTTGATCGCATCTGTTTTGGGTCCAATGCAGTATCGGTTCACTCATTCCGCCCTTTTTATCGTCGCATAGCTGCGGGTTGAAAACGGCGTGGAGACGATAGGGTGGTAAGGGACTGATCGGGCCCTAGATCCCGATGACGGCGGCTGCACCCCTGTGTTTGTTACTGGGGTCTGGGGTTCAGAGCCCATGTGGAGGCAACTGTACCCCGAGGGTATGCTCTTCCAAGATTGTACCTGACTGTTCTGATTGCTAATTTGCGTCTTCTTGTGGGTTTTCCCCCCGATTTGTGGGGGAAACGAAGTTGGTCCGACGCGCCCTCAGCCTCGGACCGTCACCGTCTCCACATCCCCGCATCGGGAGGATGAAATTTGAACTGCCCATCGATGACAGTTCTACTCTGAATCAATCTGTCGATATGCAAGCTTCTAAGGCAATTACACGTAGGCAACACGCGCCGTCGGGAGTCCTCAAGCGGTCGGCCAAGGCATGCACCCGATGCCGGAAAAGGCGGACGAAGTGTACTGGGGATCCCCCATACCCATGCAAAACATGCAGAGATGCCGGACATACCTGCGTCTACTCTGAGACTGAGAAGCGGGTAAATGTCCCCGAGAGCTATCTTATTGAGCTTCAGACTCAAGCTCGACGAGGCATCAATGCTCGAGAGAATTGCGATCGCCCTTCGGACCTGGAATCGATATCCAGTCCAGATATCGGGCTGGAGTTTACGAGCACCGACAACTGGGTTCTCGGAAGTTCTGGACAGTACCGTACGTTGCCATCGGCCTTCTGCGGCTTACTGAGCTGACCTGGGCAGATTTTATTGGCAACTCGTCATCAACTTATATCGCCAATCGGCTGAACCCGACGACGGAGAACTTGGATTGGCACATGTATCCTCACTACGAGGATACTGCCTGGCTTCGACGACCCATCGATCCTGAGATACCGCCTCTACCACCGTTTGACCTAGCAAAGCGCTTGTATCGTGCACAGCATGCGTACATTGGCACAATCTTCTCGTTCCTCAGTGACACGGCCTTCTATGAACGGCTTGAGCGAGTGTATGCTCGAAGCCCAGATCCCAATACTAGGGATGAATGTCTAATTTATTGTCAGATACTCCTCGTATTTGCCTTTGGGCAGATGTACTCAATCAACCAGTGGGTTGGGCACGAGGGACCGCCTGGATTCCAGTACTTCAAGCACGCCCTTGCCTTTCTACCAAGTGTGTTTGAGGACGGCTCCATTTTATTCATTGAGGTGTTGAGCTATGTTGCGTACTTCATGCAGACCATCAACCGAAGGGATGCGGCCTACGTGTACATCGGCATTGCCCTCAGAATGGCCATTTCTCTTGGGCTACACCACGAAGTTCTTGACCAAGAGGTCGACATTGAAACAAGGGAGCACCGACGAAGGATCTGGTGGTCTACCTACAGCATGGAAAGACTACTTTGCGTTACTTCTGGACATCCGATAACAATCCAAGACGAGGACATTGATCTTCTCCCTCCCTCTCCCATACCGGGTGAGGACAGCCATACAGCTTCCGTCCTGGCCAATTACACAGAACTATCCAGAATACACGGAATAATAGGGGAGAAAATATATCGCAAGAAACAGAAGTCAGGCCCTGAGATATCCGCCTGCACTCAACACATTATGAAAAGACTAAGTGACTGGTTTGAGCGGCTACCAGAGACCATGCAGCTGAATCCTTCCGACATGAGCCAGGCGCCACACCGGGAGGTTGTTTCGACGTACTTGCACTATTATCATTGTATCAACATGACGGCTCGCCCGATTCTGCTGTACGCTGTTCAGCGACAGTTGGCAGCAAGTTCCCACTGTCCGAATACGACTCGATGGGAGGACGGATTCTCCACAGAGATGGTTCATGTCATTGACACAGCCATATCTGCTGCAAGATCTACTGCCTTGATACTCAATACCGCAGCCAAACATAATATCGTTGGTAAGTCAGCAGAGCCCTAGAGGGAGACCTATTTCCTAATTATCACCAGCAACGTATGGGTTCATCGATGGGGAACAAGCCTTCTCCGCGGCTCTGCTCCTTGTAATGGTCAATATTGCCTTCCCATATAAAGAAACGAATGCCTCTGCAATGAATATGGCTCTCGATGTTTTGCAGACGATGGCAGAGAAGGGTAACAGGTATATTCGGGCCTGCCATTCACTTCTCACCAAAATCAAAAGTTCCGTCAAGACAAAGGATTCGAATCTCGCGAACACCGGTGAACAAGTGCAAGTAAGGGACCAAGTACAGAGCAATAATATGTATACAGAGAGTGCCATTGTTGCAGGTCTTCCCAACGACCAGGCTCAATCATTTAATTTGGACTTTGAAGGAGATCCCGGCCTATGGGCAGAAGTGCTGGACTCCATTGACATCGATATGGATAGACAATGGGTTGAGACGGCTCTGTTACGGGGACAGCCGGAGACGGCGAATCAGTTGTAAAATGCCATAATTCAATGACTCTTGATAAATTGAACCCATTATCCTCACATGCCAGTACTTTCCCTTCCCCTAGTAATCAGGAGGGTTGATAGTTTAATTGGAATTTAAGATGAAATGAGAATGGTGGTTATTTTGCCACTCTAAATCCTCGTACACATGTGTAGTATTCTCCAGGTAAATCTCAATTACACGGTCTCGTTAATCACTATGGACAAAGTCGGTACTATGTACAGTGGGTTCCATTCTGTGCAGCCTGCTTGCTACCATAGCCACCTCCACCGGGGGTCATAATGACAACCCTGTCGCCAACCTTCATGGGTACACTACCCTTTCCGCCCATGTTAACTCTCCTTTCCTGACCTGTGTGCCTATCCGCCGTGAGCCAGAGGTTCAGGCCAGTTGATCCAGGCCCGCCACCCTCCATACCATACGGCTGGTGAACACGGCGCTCAGATAGAATAGAGCACTGCACTGGGGTCAGGAACTCGATTTCTCGAGTCACACCGTCACCTCCTCTATTGCGTCCCGCGCCCCCAGTGTCATCACGGAGCTCAAAGCGGCGCAGCACGCATGGGTATCGTTTTTCAAGGATCTCAGGATCAGTAATGCGGGTGTTCGTCATGTGCACATGCACACCACTCTCTCCCACCCAGCCATCACCTGCACCAGCTCCACCAGCAATAGTCTCATAATAACCGAAGCCCGGTGTGACCTTTCCTGTTTCATCGACCTTGGCATCAATGCCGAAAGTGAGGTTGTTCAGACAACCCTGCGAGGCGGCACAGGCGTGAAGCGCCTTGAGAACCACATCGGTGACTCGCTGGCTGGTCGTTACGTTACCGCCGACAACGGCAGAGTCGCCGGTAGGGCTCAGGATGCTAGGTTTCGGGATCCTGATATCAATGGGACTCAAGCAACCTTGGTTCAGAGGGATGTCCGACTTGATCATGCATCGCAAGGCATATATAATCGCCGAATGGGTGATAGCCTCGGGAGCGTTAATGTTACCACGGACCTCCGGACCCGTACCGTCAAAGTCGAAGACGGCCGCGCCTTCCTTGTCAATCGTGATCGTGAGCTTGATGGGTGTGCCGTCGTCCATGAAATCCAGGGCCTCCAGCGGACGGCCGCCGTAGCGGTGGTACATATCCTTGAGAAGGTTTCGGACGGCCAACTCGGCTGTGCGCTGGATCTCGTACATATACATCTGCACGGTTTGCAGTCCGTACTCGTCGATCAGGTTCTGGATCAGCGTGATCCCACGAGCATTGGCGGCAATCTGAGCTTTGAGGTCCGAGATGTTGTCGCTCAAGTTTCGGCTGCCTGAGCAGCCTTCGTACTTGGATGGGACATCAAAGAAGAGCTCGCGCATGCGGTCTTCATTGAAGATACCATTAGAAACGACCTTTTCTGACTCGATGGCTGCGCCTTCCTGCCACAGCTCGGTGGAGTTGGGAGGCATGGATCCGGGAAGGATGCCGCCGACTATAACAGATTTTGTTAGTAATTGAGGACCAGATAATCCGAGAAATCTTACTTACTGTCTGCATGGTGGCCGCGCGAGGCGACGTAGAAGATGATTTCATCGGTTCCTTGCTTGAACACCGGGGTGACGACCGTCACGTCGGGCAAGTGGGTTCCGCCAGACATAGGGTGGTTCGAAACCAAGACATCACCATTCTTCAGCTGCCCTTTCCAGCGATTATGCTGGTATCGAACAGCAAACTGCATTGATCCTGAGATGGACCGGCACATGGGGAGCATTGGCGACAAGCCCGCCGTCGGGAGAGAATAGAGCGCAAGAAAAGTCGAGTCGCTCCTTGATATTCGTCGAGACGGAGGTTTTCTGTAGAGTATGGCCCATCTGCTCGGCAACGGACATGAACCTATGGCCAAAGATGGATAGACGAATAGGGTCAACCTTTGACGAGTACGTGGCCTCGCGAGTCGCGGACTCTAAGTCGATAAGCACACATGTGTCAAGAACGTGAACGACCGCATTGGGATTGACCACGATGGTCTGAGTCTCGTCGATAATAATGGCAGGGCCGTGCAGCTTCACATTAGAGCCGAGATCTCGAAGCTGGTAGACAGGGGTGCTTCTGAATCCAGCTTGCGAGTCGAAGTAGACGTCTGTGTAATGAGCGGGTGCACAAGCATCCTTCAACGTTGCATCCTTGAGCTGTTGCAAGGGGCTTTTCTCCACCGTCTTGTTTGCGGATGCGATGGTTCGGACGCGAACATCGTCAATGATGACCGGCCGCTGGAATGTGAAGTTAAACTCCCGACGGTGTCGCTCGATAAAGGCTGAAAGGAAGTCACCATCCTCAGGCTTGAGGATCATCAGACTTGTATCCGAGCCCTCGTACCTCATGTTTAGGAAAATTTCATGCCTAAGTTGCTCCTCCACAAAACCCTGGGTCTGGAGCTGCTTGATGGTGTGGTTAATGAGACCCTGTAGTTTGCCAATAATTAATTCCTCGGCTCCAACATAGTAAGCAGCCATAGGCTCTTGTGCCTCGTGGACGATCTCAGCGAGGGCAAGGCCATACGCCGATAGGATAGAGGAGTACTTGTGGATGATAATGCGCGAAATGCCGAGCGAGGCGGCAACGTTGCAGGCGTGCTGGCCACCGGCACCACCGAAGCTTGCGAGATGGTGAGCAGAAGTTTCGAATCCTCGAGCTTCTGTCAGATTGCGGATAGGTCTTGTCATTGATTCGTCGGCAACCTTGAGGAAGCCCAGAGCAACTTCTTCGGCGGTGAGTTGAGTGACGCCGTGCTCTGAATTGATCTTTTCCGTCATCTCCTCAAACAGCTTCCGAGAAACTTCTCTGTCGAGGGGCTGATCCTCATTAGGGCCGAAAATCCTAGGGAAGTATTCAGGCAAAAGGCGACCTAGGAAAAGGTTTGCATCGGTGACTGTGAGCGGTCCTCCCTTTCTATAGCAGGCAGGCCCGGGGTGTGCGGACGCAGATTCGGGTCCGACCATAAATAGGCCATTCTTCCAGAACAGAATGGATCCACCTCCCGCAGCGACAGTGTTAATGTCGAGCTGCGGCGCCTGAATGCTAACACCTGAGATACTAGAGGAGAAGGTGTGGTCAAGGTGACCGTCGAACCGTGACACGTCGGTGGATGTGCCTCCCATATCGAAGCCAATAATAGGCACTCGCGCCTCTTCGTCCCAACTCGTCGAGGCATACCCAACAACACCGGCGGCGGGACCGGAGAGAATAGCTTTCAAGCCGCTGAACTTACGGAAGTCAACCAAACCGCCGTCAGACTGCATGAATTCGACTCGACAACCGTGAGAGCCTGCTAAGCCGCCATCGAAATTTGCTGAGATGGAGTCGATGTAAGATTTAATGACCGGGGTGAGATAGGCGTCGGCAGTAGCAGACATGCCGCGAGGGACCACCTTGATCATAGGCTGCAACTGGGACGATAGTGCGACTGAGAAGCCTAGCTTGGAGGCAGTCTCGCCAATCTTGAGTTCATGGTCGGGACAGGCGAATGAGTTGATAAGAGCAACAGCCACCGAGCGGTAGCCCTGCTTCTTCAGAGCTTCCAGGTCTGCAGTGATTTTTTCAATATTTAGTTCCCGAGCCACCTGAAATGTCTCCCCAGTAATTCCCTCAATCACTCGGAAAGGCGACAGAGCCTCTGGGGATGAAAGGGGATGCGAGGGGATGATGCGCTCGTCAACCTCGACAACATCCTCGAACAAGACATCAGGCCGCCTCGCTGAGAGGTCGAAGATGTCGGGACGGGCCTGGTTGCCGATTCTAAGGAGGTCCTTGAAACCTTTGGTGGTCAGGAGCGCAGATCTCATGCCTTTGCGCTCCAGAAGGGCATTGGTGGCAACTGTGGTGCCCATTCGTAGGCATTCTATGTCGTCCAATTGGAGGGGCTGTCCTCTGGGTAATGTCGCACCAGTAGCGGCCTCAAGGACTCTGCGGATGCCTTCTGTAGGGGCATCTTGGTAGTTGGAAGGGTCGACGGAAAGGAGTTTGAGGACGATGTCAGGCTTGCCGGGCACAATGGCATGAACGTCGGTGAAGGTGCCGCCGCGGTCGATGGAAACCTTGATCTTGTTGCCTGGCATTATAAAATAAAGGAACGAGGGTGTATATCTTTTCACAGCTGTCTTTCTCCTCTCCCATGAACGAGGCAACGGACCGGACATTTATATATACCTCCGATATAGTGGGTCGTCAGCGACGTACAGTCTCCAACTCGGCAAAACTGTGCAGCGTAGTTACATGGTTTGTAAGAGTCCATTCTATCTCCGGAAACTCTCAGAGACTGATGTCACCTCTTCTGCCACTGGCCACATCTGGATGCGCCTGGGAATGGAAGGTCAAAGCGCCGGGACCCACTACCCGAGGATTAGCCTTGCGGGGGTAGAGGCCCGACCCGAAGTTGAAGATAGGGATGGCGAACCCGATCAGTGTATCGCTTTCAAGGCATGGACAAGCCCCACATACCCCGGATTCCTTCTTTCTAGTCAATCTCTCTCAAGCTGAACCAGGGCGGCACGAGCATGACCAAGACGAGACCTTCTGAGCCCCTGACTGGTCGCTCCAGAAGACAGTAAAGAACCATCATTTGAATAAAACGCGATAACTCTTGGGCAGTCAAGTATAGGTTGAGAGGCAAGGTATTGCTCTCTTCGTACAGAGCCTAATCCAAGGGAAGGAGTACTTCTTATTTTCCTTATTTTCAACCCTAATGCGTGTATATAACGATGATTCCAGCAGCGACGGTCAGACCATCTGATCACTTCCCGAACCAGACCAGCTGTATTCGTCATCCGTTCTCATGCCATTGTTCAACTTGAATCTTTCCCGTATTTGTTCCATCTGTAATTTGGCCTGTTGCCTAGCCTGTTGGACGGTTGGCGGCTTAGGCTCGACTGGCGAATTTGTCGGTTTGTTCGTCTTCTGGCTTTTCCTTCTCCCAAACACATATTCCTTCAAGGTGCTCGCATTGTAAGCGATGATTGCAAATGATACAGACACAGATATGGAAACTCCGACTAGAGTCATAGAAAAGCAAATCATCAGACCGTGCTCCGCGCCACAAATAGTAGGCAGGGTAAGAACTTACAGATAATGGGGAATATCACGCGTCCTTGGAAGCGGACATCGTCACCTACATGAGGAAAATCGGATATGTCCAGCGCGAGTAGACTGGTCAGGAAAGAGGCGGGAAGCTGCAAATATATCAGATAAGAACAGGGAAGGACCAAATGGGTATTCACTTACGAAGAGAATTGTCACCACTGTAAAAGCCATGATTGTGTCACTCTGCTTCGCAGTATCTTCGCTTTGCTTTCGTGCAAACTCGGCTTCGACAATATTGGCTTGCTTCTGCTTTAGGTCGAGCAGCATGTCAATGGCCTTCTGCACGAACTCGGCCTCCTTGACCATTTCTGTAATCTCTTTCCTGACCTCAAAAGGTGTGTTGTATGTGAACGTAGCCTCTTGGTTGGATCCGTTCTTCCAGACTTGGTTCCAAACACCTTCCTGGTCTACAGCAAGAGATTTCAGCGTGTTAAGTTCATCACATATGTCCTTGACCTCTCGGAGTAGCTCTGTCTCGCCAGCAATGTTACCGTAGGGGCTATATGTGTCCCTTCCTTTCCAAGCTTTAGGCTTGCTTTTAAACAAGCGACCAACGGGTCCAGGTTCCTTTTTGTCATTCTGACTTTCGCCCGGTCCCTTGGCTTCTGTTGGCGACTGGTTGGAGAATTCGTTGGAACTCTCCTGACCCTCATTGTCTGTGGCTACATCATCAAGTGACTTTTGGAATACATCGAATAAGTGCGACTCCTTGTCACGCTTTTGTTTCCATCAGTCATTAGTTTAGACTCATAGCTCACTCTCTGGGATCGCGCTGGCTCTACTTACCACGTTCAAGATAGCTGTACGATAGACCCCCAGAGGTGATTTCTTGTTCCCCAATACTTCCACATCTTTCTTGTTGAAAAAGCTCGTAGCCGTACTGAGGATGAGCTCTTGAATGTTTTCGACCGTCATCGGTGAGTTCTTTTCTTGGGCTCGAACATTGTTTAGAACCCGTTGAAGAAAACTGCTTTCTGTCTCGTCTATCTCGCTTGTCGTGCTTGTAATAATGGTCTCTAGTTAGTGTGATTAGTTAGGCAGCTGTATTGGAAATGAAAGCACCTGGCGGCCATACTTTCGTCAAGTATCCAAAGCCAGAGCTGATTCACGATAAGAATCTTGCGTCTATCATCGCTTGTTTGTCGGTTCTCCAGCAGATCTACATTTCTCCCGCTCTTGCTTTCTCTCGGGTTGAGCTTTGAATCTGTGCTACGCCACAGCACTTGATCCTTGTCCCTTGTCGTGGTGTCCTCAAGGGATGAGTAGTAATACTGATCAAGGGTGAGGGAGTCATGGAAAATTTCTCGTCGCTGGGTAGTCTGAGAAAGGTCGGTCATCTTTGTCTGGGTAGCAGTCGCGGTCTCAGTCAGTTGGACTGAGCGTTCATCTGTAGTGTGAGGGAACTCGGCTGGGCACTTCTTCCAAAACAGATAGGGTATCTACCGATATGCATCAGTTATATGAATAGAAAAGCGAAACATGAAACGAAAATGCTAAAAGGGAGAAAATAATAACCCACATATAGAGCACTTCGGCCAATACTCAAAGTCTGGTCAGATTGGTTATCGATCCTGTTATTTGCCTCATCACAGTGGGCTGTCTTAGACCGTTGATAATGCTGGGTTTGAGGTTAGTATACTGGAATCAGAGATCAGGTGATTTAATGCCGACTATAATTTTCTAATCTGCACTTACAACACACTGTGGTTTCATGTAGAATTTGTTTCCACCGGCAGGTAGCTCAGCCCAACTTTTGCGTACAAAGTCTGCCCAGGGGCGGTGTTCCTTGTTCGTGATATTTTGATCTTGAGAAATTCGGACCATGAGTTCCTAGTTCGCGTTAGCATTAAATCTGACCAGCAGTGGAGTAAATGTACTTCGACACAGAGCAGCTAACAGAAAGATGGTCAGTAAGTAAAAAAGGATGAGCGTGATCAATCCATTGATGCTACTCACATCGTTTCCAGGGAGATGAATCCATTTCAAGTCTAGCACTCTCTGCTTTTCGAAACTGGATTTGTCCCTCCGGCCCAACGCAGCAGTGATCCCTCCCCTCTTTTGTGTCTCTTTTGAGGACTCCCCCGGGCTAGAAAGCACTGCCTTGAGCGAACTGAGATCGAGATACTGACCAGGCTTCATGATATTCCGGGGTCCTTCGTGATAGATGATAGTGGCTATTGAACGGCGCTTGAGCTGTATGGAGGCTTGGTGCTCCTCATGATAGAAGTCCAGCACTGTCCCGTCTAGCAAGCCGTGATTGCTGGGGAAAAATTCAAATGCTGGTATGTGTTCGTCATATCTCGAAGCATGGTCCTTCCGGAGAGGAGGGGGGTTCTCAAGAATTTCCTTGATTATGTTGCGGATCGGATCGTCCTGTTCTCATGTAGAGATGATATGTTGTCCTTTCTCAATTTGATTTCCGCTCAGGTCCCACCCATTGGAAAGAAGCCACCAAACAACAACAGGCAATTTATGGTACACAGCCAAGTGCAACGTACCTAACCCACTTGTTTCAGGCAAAAGAGGGCGCGGTATTGAGTTGAGAAAGCCTGTGAGATAACTTTCCTCCCTGGGGTCTCAAATTGCGCAGCCAACTCCAGGATAAGTTTTGCATCATCTTGTAATGGGTTGGAAAAAAAGCCGGCCCTTTCGGTGCTTTGATTCAGGAAGTCCCACAGTATTCGCTCCAGGCGGCGATGACTTTCAGTGGTTACCGATGCTGATGCTACCAGTGAGATCGAGTTTTCACCATCATCTTGCTTTCGAATAATGGCACGCAGAACACCACCTTCTTCGCGGAGGATGTCACGTAAGGCATCGATCATCCGGTCCCCGTTCGCTTCGAACAACGTACAATGTTCTTCATAGAATATCTCGCTCTCCGTTTCCAGGTCAACAGATGGAATTTCATGCAGGATGTCACCGACGACGACGACCACTCTCTCTCCATTTTTCGGGCATGGGCATCAGACCGATGCAATATTGGGAAATCAGAGCCAGACCAAAAGATTAAGCACCATTCGCGGGTAATGGTGTTTGACGGCCAAGTGTAGAGGAGTGATGTTCTCCTGGCTTGGGGCTAGTGTGCAAATTCCATTCAAGAGCAGTTGCCCTAAGATTTTGGTATTCCCGCCCAGGGCCGCCACGTGGGCCCAAGAAGCCCCTCCTCTTTCTCAGGGAGCCTGCAAGATCTGTATTTCGCTCATGCATTTGCTGACCAGCTCCTCTTGTCCATTCAGGATAGCCCAATATAGGATTGCATCTCCGTGCTTATTGATCGAAACGTTAGACTTCATATCGATATCGTCGATCTCTCCGTCATATATCTGCAAAAGGAAACGTTCAACCGACATAAATTCGTGTATTCCGGAGAAATGTGGCTCAGCCCTGGCGGGAAACCGCGGGAAATAAATTTCCGCTTCCAACAGTTGAAACACAATCGGAACGCAGGCTTCGATTGCAGTAGTGGCCAAGACCGCATCATACAGACTGTCCCCATCGTCGAGGCGCTCTGTCCAGGAATAAATAGAACCCTTGACAATAATAGTGCGTCCTTGGAAACTGGATGTGATCTCATAGAACGCCCATGCGCAGGCCACCTCCAATGCAGTTTGCCCATCATCCGGTGCTAAGGTAATATCCACACCTTCTTCAATCAAATACCTGGCAACATCCATCCGGCAGTGCCGCAAAGCGCAGAGCAGACCCGTTTGACCAGCTTCACCCTTCGAATTCAGCAGACTAGGTTCCCTTGCCAAGATTCGACCAAGAGCCTGGAGATGGCCCGCTTTGGCAGCGTAATGTAAAGACGTATTTCCAGACTGATCCTTGGTTGTTATATCTGCCCGTATGACAAATAGAAAATTAAGATCTCCAAGTGACCATTCACCAAAGCGAGGGAGATAGCTGTTTTGCCGTCGTGATTCTGCAAATCTAGCAGACCATCTTCTTTTTCCAAGATTCGGTCAACTGCCTGGAGATGACCGTGTTGGGCAGCATAGTGGAGAGGTGTATTCCCAGACCAATCCTTGATGGTTATATCTGCCCCTTTATCAAAAAGATAATCGAAGATCTCCAACTGATCATTCTCCAAGGCGGCAAAGATAGCTGTTTGGCCAATCTTAATTTGCACATCCAGGAGATTAGGTTCCTTTGTCAAGATTAGGTTAACGGCCTGGAGATGAGCGTGCCTGACAGTCTGGTAGAGAAATGTACCACCAGTGTCTCCCTTGCCGGATATATCTGCCCCTTTGTCAAGCAGGTAGAGAAAGACATCCAGGTTACCATTCCTCATAGCGAGAGAAACGGCTGTTTCGCCACGAATCCCTTGTGAATTTAGGAGTCTAAAATGATCCTTTAGAAGTCGTTTGACCACAACAAGATGCCCGTATCCAGCCGCATAATGTAATGCTTGACTGCCGTAATCGTCCTCGAACTTGGTTTCTGGTATCCGAGAGAGTAGAATATCGAGCACAGAAACGTGGCCCTGTTGAGCCGCGAGGGAGAAAGCGGATAATTCGAGTTTCCACCCTCCCGGAAAGTAATCTGGTACCCGTTCCATGGCATCTATATCAGCCCCCTTATCAAGTAAAAGTTTGACAACAGAAGCATGGCCCTTGTATGCTGCGGCAAGGAGAGGCGTTCGTCCGTGAATGGTGGCCATTTCCAGAAGTTTTGTCCCGCCTCGGCCAAGAAGTATTTCGACTATGTTTTCGTAACCCTCTTCGGCAGCCAAGTGCAGGGCGGTTGTGTTGGTATTTGTTGTTGCAAATACATTGGCTCCTCTGTTCAGGAGTAGCTCAACATTTGCTCTGCCGCCTAATTCTGCTGCGAGCATCAAGGGAGTGACGTCTTTCTGAGGAACCTCGCTGGGTCTCAGGCGGTAAGAAATCACAGACTCAAGGGCTGCAGGATCGTCGAGATGCTTTTGCACGGCATCTAAATTGTCACATTCGATTGCATAGTGTATATTATCTATCAGACCGTCTTCAGAATTATCTTCGTATTCAGAATTATCTTCATCTTCGTCCGAGATACTTGTTGGTAGGTGGCTTTCTTGGAGAACCCCTCGATATGGTCGAAGTTTGTAGTAACGCGGACTGTAATCATAGATTATAAACCGACTAGCGGTTTGGCGAGGAACGTCTGCAAAGAGGAGCGATTCTTCGGAAGCTATTTCAGTCAGACTAAATGTATCAGGTTCCCAGGTAGACCACAGTACCTTCCATGATATCCTCTATAGGGTCAGATGCTGGGTTTCAATTGTGCATGGAGAAAGCGATGCTAAAAGAAGAAAGAAAATGAAAATACACTCCAACACTCTTCCCGCACGCTCATATCTATATGGGAAATACTCTCGGGCCTTGGAATAGGCGCTGCGATCAGGGCAAAAGTACGTGTCGCATCGAATGTATCCAATCACTGGCGCCAAGCCTCTCCCATATCCACAGATGCACCCGATCCGTACCCCACCCTGTATATCAATTCCAATTTAACATCTTGAGCGCTTAGAAGTGGAGTCTATTTATATCAAGCTTCTTATCCGAAGCTGGATATTGATCCACAAACGGGATAGTATATCCAATGATCATAGTCTACATAGATGGTTGTACTATACATAGCCAAGAGTGATCTGTCGAGTAATGCGGCTTCCTATATTCAATAACCCAACCCATTTGGCGTGCATGATATCAGGGACGTTGCCTTTGAGGTTATTTTATAATTTATTTTTAGATGTCTTCTGTGGATGTCACTTCGTATTGGTGCTGTGCTCTGTGCCTAGCAGGATGAGGGGAATAAGCCACGAATATTAATATACGTGCAGGGAAAAGCGCGTAAAAGTTGCAAAACAACTTTTCCATTTACAACATGGGATTAGATTATCCTACTACATATATGTATGTAGCCATGGAATGGGGTTATACACCGAAAGAGCCGACGTACAATGTATTTTAAGCAGAGGCCCTGAAATTTGCCCTGACCGTCACGTAATGTGAAATCTTTACTCATGTTGACCCATAAGAATGTATTCTTCATATTTCCTTCATTCACTGAGTCTACATTAATAGCTTGCCCTTTGAGTTGGCTTTGAGTTGAAAAAGGTATATGTTCTCAAATTATTTAGTGTAGTTGTTCTAAGGTTACCTAGGTAAAAACCAAAATCTATAAGATCTGAGATATAGACCCACCTGTAAGTTTGGAAACTGTATCCCATGGTATAGAAAGTAAGCTAGTAAGGGCTGTTCATGTCCAGGTTGTATACTTGATATTATTGCTAGACTTGCCAACGGAGTAATGTTAATATAAAGAGCGCCTTTCGCGCGTCTTTTATATTTTATTTTCTCCAATCATGCTGGCCACGGGTTGTCTCTTGCACTTAGTAATAATACGTATGGACATCATTTCTGTGCCTGTCACTCGACCAACGAGATCTCTACTAGGTAACTATGGCATTGACAGATTTTAACTCAGATGAAGAAAATTTTATGAAGGCTGACAACGTGCGTCTGAGCCAATTCCAACCACCATACTCAGGCCTTATTTCGAAAGACTTTCGAAAGACTTCCGGCCACTCGCACCTCTAGTGCGCCATCCGGTACCCCTGCTGCCCGGGTGCAGGACTTGATCTGACTAGCAGCCCAAACAACAACATGGCGGGTTTGATTGGAGTTAGAATTTCATCTGCACTATGGCACAATGCAATGATAATTCCAAGGTTTGTCTTTTATTCGTGCGAATCAAAAGAAAAGAGGCCTGCATTGCCAGGAGGATATAAAAATGCAAACAAAGCAAACAAAGCTACATGGATGAGAAGATGACAGTTCTCCACTCTTCTGCAAGGAAGTCCAAAGGACACGAAATCCTTAAAATAATCGCCACCTCTTGACTCATAGCATTGGGGCTTAATCATCCAAAAAGCGAGTCGTGCTTACCACTCACTAACCACTACCTCAGGCCAACCTCAACCAATACTGCGGACACAACCGACCATACTCGACACTCCAGAGAGCTATCCAGCTCTCAAACATCCAACCATGCACACTCTCCCCAAACTGGCAATCACAGCCTTACTTCTCATCTCACCAGCGACATGTTTCTCAAACTCAAAACCACCAGGCAAAGATGCCATCCTATTGTCGAACGTGCAATCCCTAACACTACGCGCCCACCGCATGACCAGCGCACGGCGCGTCTCTCCAATCCCACAACTCAGCTGCACAGGCCCATCAAAACGAATATGCAACCTCTACCAGCCTGAAACAATGCGCTGCACAAACCAAGGCTATGACTACGACGTCGAAGACGTGCAGTGGACATGCACCGCAGACCTGCCGCCGGAGTTCAAGCTCGGCGCAACAGATGTTATCTGCGAGGGATACCGGAACGCTGATGATAAGTGGGTGTTAAAGGGGAGTTGTGGGGTTGAGTACCGGCTGCTCTTGACCGAGGCCGGGGAGAAGCGGTTTGGCAAGAAAGGCGGTGATGCAGAGTGGGATTGGACGGGCAGGAGCCGGTCTGGAACTGGGGTTCAGAAGATCATGGCTGTGCTTGGGGACTTGATCTTCCTTGGATTCATCGCTGCTGTTTTCATTATGATCTTATGGCCTATATTGGCGCAAATTCTCGGATGGGGGAATCGGCGAGGCAGGGGTGCGGGTCAGGCCCCGGGGTGGGGCGGCTTCTGGGGAGGTGGTGGTGGCGGTGGAGGAGGAGGAGGAGGTGGAGATGATCCTCCACCTCCGTACAGCAGTTTCGATCCTTATAAATCTGCTGATCATCAGCAGGGCTGGAGGCCGGGTTTCTGGACTGGTGCGTTAGGCGGTGCTGCAGCAGGTTATCACATGGGGAGACGGGCTGATAGTGGATCGCGAGGTGGCATGCCGATGGGCAGATTTGATGGATATGACCCAGGTGAAGGCAGCTCGCGCTCGCCGCCGCGGTTTTCGTCTCCGACTGCTAGTACTGGGTTCGGGTCGACAAGGCGTAGGTGATATCATGGCTGTTTTCACCTGTCATTTGCTACCGACTTGAGAAAAAGGAGATATCAAAAGATGGCCAAAAAGACCTTTGAGAAGGTCAAAAGAAGCAACAGGTCGTTTACCGGTGGCTCTAATTTCTTTTGGCCATTATCAAACCGACACCTACACAATGGGAGAAATGTAATGAAGGAACAAATCAATTAGTTAGCAAACAGCCTGAAACTCCTGGCTCGATCAATGTGTATCTTGTAATCCCGCACTCAGAACGCCGTGACCTGTTATTCTTCACTTCATATGATCCACGTCCATTAGAATCCCCGACTTAAGCCATGGGGAAGTCATCTATCGATCCCAGAACCTCCTCTGTTCCGCCTCCCTGGTTCTTCATGCTCGCCTTCTTGCGGGATTTCCTGACACCCGTCTTGTCGTTCTTGGCATCCTTCGCATCGTTGGAATCACCACCAGTTGGGTTTCGAAGCATTTCCTCTTGCAACTCCTTCTCCTTAGCGTGTTGGTCCTCAATCCGCTTCTTCTCATCGTCAAGTTCTTGCTGAACAAGCTTGGGATCATCATAGACGGTGTTAGTCATCTCTGAATAAGTTGCAATGTCGATGGTCTCAGACGGGCCCATCAAGGTCTCCTTGATTCGTTGCGGATCACGACGCTCTTCATTGTTGAACTTCAACTTGATCTGACGACGAGACCGGCCCGGGAACATTTTGCTGATGACCATGAAATCCGTACCGAACATGCGGAGCCCGCGATAAAACAGATCTGTCAACTCTTCGTCCCATGTTTCAGTCTTTGTACGCTTGCCATACGAGGCCTGATTGACCTTCCGCGTGAACGAGCTTTCCACCACATCTTCGAGGTCGCCGGCAGCTCGGGCGGCATCCGCGTGACGATCGACCTGCAAGGAAGCACTATCCAGCACGATCTCGCCGTTGACGATTCGCATAATGGGGCCACTTTGGGGTTTCCAATCGACTGGTTGCTCATTCTTCTCCTGTTCGGGTTCAGCTTGCTTGACGGGCGTTCCTGTTCCTGGTCCGGGGGTCCCGCCCTGCTTCTTCCGTTCTTCTTCGGCCTGATCGATCTTGCGCAGCTCTGTCTCGCGTTTGGACTTCTTTCCGGTTCTGAGATCTTTGCAAAGCTCAGACATTTTGACAACATTCGGCAAGATCTCGACTGTCTCTGCGCCTTCCGGGGTAGGTTCGCGCTTCTTGCGGGTGCGCTTTGGTTTCTCGCTACCCTCAAGATCCGAGGTACCGGCCTTTGAGTACTTTCGTTTCTTTGGCTTTGTGGGATCTGGAGTTGAAATATTGGATTCACTGGGTGTTGCGCTTGAATCTTCGATGGTAGGCACGACTGATTGGGAGCTTCGACGGCTTGCCGCTACAGATACCGATTTCTTCCGAGGTGGGACAGCTGTAGTTGACGAAGTTCGAGCGCGTTTTGCTGGTCGACCCTCGGTTGGGGCAGCTCGTTCAGTTTCAGGTCGAGGTTGGGGTAGAGCTTCATTTGAATCGACAAGGTTTTCCGCGGCCCGCGCTGTTTCAATCCTGGCGTATTCTAAAAGAGCCGTCTCTGGTCCATGTTCCTCAGAGGATGGAGGTTGAGCCTCGGTAGTCGGGACATTGGCGGGAGATGGGGTGGGTTGACTGGGAGGAGGGGTAGGCGGGGCGGTTGAGACAGGTGCGGGTTGCGAGATAGAGATGGGGGCAGTGCGCTTCTGCGGCACAGCTGGCTTTGGGATCGGGGTTGGCTTTGGGATGGCAGTCGGCTTGGGGATTGGAGTCGGCTTTGAGATAGTAGTTGGCTTAGGGATCGGAGTGGGCTTTGAGATCGGCTTTGAGATTGGAGTCGGCTTGGCGATGGGTGTAGCAGTGGGTGTAGTAGGCGTGTCGGTAGGTGTGACGCTCTGTGTAACAATCGGAGCGGTGGTAGGAGTAGCTATCGGGGGAGTGACTGCAGTATCCAAAGCAACGGGTGTTTGTTCTGTGGTTGGCGCAGCGACTACCGCAGGTGAGGCCTCTGTGACTGCCCTTGCTTCTGGCTCTGCAGCCACAGGAGGCGTCAGATCAGAGGCAACTACATCTTTGGTTTTTTCCTTCTCCTCCTGGGCAGGCTCAGCTGGCGACTGTTGAGCAACACTAGGTCGTCTCGCGGGCGCGGCGGCGGGCGCACGGCGGATAGGCGCCTTCGGGGCGAATTTCTTGCCGGTTTTATCTGTCAAACAGAAAATCAGAGATTGCACAGTCATGATTCACAGTCAGATGATACTCACTAATCGCAGAACTGGAAAAGGACTTCATGACTGCCCATCGCTGTAAGGTGTGGATTGATGAAGATCGTAAAAGTTCCAGGCCGGGGAAGTGGGCGAGGATCACGTGATGACACTAGCGGGCGCTAAACCTCGTTGAAAATCCTCCTGTCTTCAACTCCTCGATCTCTGCCATCCCACCCCTTCTACCGTCTGCTCGCCCACCCTTCTTTTACTTCCACTCCTTTCGCTTTGGATTACTGGACATTTACCCTTCTACCGGACTTTCCTTCGACAGGATTGGACACAGTCTCGAGATCTGCGTCTGGCTGACTGACGGACGGTCCGGTGGTGATAATAGCCCTCTCATGCCAGTCTAGCCACTGATGCCGGCCGTCGAACCCCCCGTCACGTCTTCAGAGTCCGGTCTTGTCAAGATGGAAGACCGGAAAAGGCCCGCTGCGGACAACAATGACTCGGCTCCGCCGTTAAAGAAGCAGGCTACCAGTGTTAACGGTGGTAGCAAGCCTCATCCGGATGCCGATATGCCATGGAAAGATGATTTGGAGGTAAGTTCATGTTTTGGATTTCGTCTGCGGTCCGGAGGTTCGATTTGAGTCCCCTGTTGAATACATGCTAATCGGGTTTCTTGCGATAGCGGTTTCAAAAAGAAGCGATTTTGCGCCAGATGCAGGAATATAAGCGGGAGAAATCCTCGCTGGAATCACGTTTGAGCCAGATGTCAAAGGCTGCCACGTTTCACAACGATCATCTTCGTGTTATCGATCTGTGGTTCAAACAGGTAGGTTTTCTCATTGTTTGCCCCGGTCAACTTGAAAGGAATTTTGGAGCGGGGACTAATTTCAGATCAGTTGATTGATGAAGTGAAAGTACTACTTGGATCATCGCAAGCAGAAGACCAAGGTCAGTACCATTATTTTAGCCCCACATCGCACCCACTATTCCAATATTGACTTTATCTGCAGAAACCTCCTTTAAAAGCTCCTTACAGTTTGAGGATGTTGAAGAGTTCGAGAAACATCTGAAATCGCGGTCGGAGGATATTCGCGCAATAATTTCTCAAGTTCAGTCTAAGTCCAATGCGCCTGCCGATATCTCAGAGGTACAAACTCGCCTTGCAAAGAAGTTGGCCGAGGAAAAAGTAGCGATCGCCGAACTCGAGAAAACCCTAGCCGAGAAGCAACAGTTGGAGGAAAGCCTTGAGGAAGCCTCCCTGCGATATCTGGTAGCCGAAAAGAAACTTGATCGTGCCAAGAGCCTGACTGTTGCGAAATTGGAAAAGCAGCAGTCTATGGGTATTCAACGACCTGGGGAAACGGCACAATCAAAGCGCGAAGAATCGTCACCCGCAAATGGAGGCACCCCCGCCGGAGAACGCAATCCCGAGTTGGAAGAAGCCAATAATAAGCTCACTGCAATTTCGGAGAAACAGAAAGAACAAGTCCGGCAACTAGAAGCCGAGAATGCCAGCCTACTAGGCCAGATTACAGAAATCAAAGTCAAGGTTGGACCCACCCCGTCATTAAATTGTCGTTTTGCCGCTCACATCGCGATCCCAGTCTTCGAAGTTCACCGATGACGATTACGCCCACACGGATTTGTTCAAACACCTTCGATCACAATATGACGATGTAGTTAAGCGAATCAACCACCTGGAAGCGACAAATGTTCAACTTCGCGAGGAAGCAGAGAAATACCGCTCGGAAAGAACCGCATACAAGATCCAGGTGGAAGATGAAACACAGAGTACGATTGCCGAGAAGGAAGCTCAGTTGATGAGGGCTGAAACGGACCTGGCTCGGATACGGAACGCCCGCGACGAACTTCTGGCAGACCAGCAGATGCGAAAGGCCGCGCAAGATCAGAAGAAGACTTCTAGTCTGAAACTGCAAGAGCTGGCGGACGCTAGGGAGGCTCGAATCACCGCCTTAGAGTCAGAAAGTCAAAGGTTGCGACTACAGGTTGAGGGGTCCAAGTCCGCCGACAATGTCAACGATATGCCACTGGAGGAGCTTCGCGCCAAGTACACCAGCCTGGAACGCCAGTACTCCATGCTCAACACCGAGTTGACATCGATGCAGACAGCTTACACGAAGTTTGCAACTCTAGCATCGCAGAAAGTTACCGACTTTGGGGCTATGGAGGAAAAGGTTGCACGGCTGACGGCGGAGAAGTCTAAAGCAGATCAGAAGTTCTTTGCTGCAATGAAAAGCAAAGAAGCACGGGATGTCGAAGTCAGAACGCTCAGAATGCAAAGCTCCAAGACATCAGATATTGTGGCCCAGCTGAAGGAGTCCGAAGCAGCTACCCGGTCATTGGTGTCTAACATGGACAAGCAAGCTAGTGAGACCAAGGAGGCATTAAACACAGCCCTGAACAAGCACCGCGCCATTCAGCAGCAGTTGACCGAGAGCAATATCCTCATGGAAGGCTTGAAAAACCAGGTTGCCGAGCTCAAAGGGCTGTCAATATCCAAGGACTCGACACTGGGAAGCACCGCTTCTGCTTTGCGACAAGCAGAGACAGAGGTCGCCGGCTTGAAACAGTCACTTGCGGATACCAAAAAGAGTTTGGACAACTGGAAGAACAAGAGTCTTGGCAATTCGTCCTCCGAATATGAAATGCTGCGAGTATGTTGAATCCCCACATGTGTTAATGAACCACAGCTAACCCGTTTAGACACTTGCATTGTGCACCGTGTGCCGTCGCAATTTCAAAAATACGGCGATCAAGACATGCGGCCATGTATTCTGCAAAGATTGCGTCGAAGAGCGTCTTACGTCTCGCTCCCGCAAGTGCCCTAACTGCGGCAAATCCTTCGGAAGCAACGACCACATGCATATTACCCTCTGATCGACCTTCAAATCTCCTGTATTATATCTTCTTTTCGATGCTTTCTTCTTTACGTCTATCTCTTTTTAGTGTGTCACATCCGGACAGGTTCATGGTGTGGTGTTTTCTGTGGTTTAGCAGGTCTGGTTGGGCCGGCGTTTGACGAGTTATGCACGCTCAGCCCTAATTCGGGGCATGTTTTATTTTCTCTCTTCTTTCCCTCGTTTTTTCTCATTACAAACCAAAGCAATGGTGGGTTTCTCAAGGCGCAGGGGCGTCGTTCTTCATCCTCTCTGGACAAGAGGCCGGCGCACACTGATTTTCCTCGGAGGCTGAGCTATTCTAGATTTCTGTGTCATGTAGGATTACCGTGTACGGAGCAAAAAAAAAAAGTACAAAGAAACATGACGAATGCAATGTGAGGTTTTTATTTCCCATGCCCCCATGAATTCACTGTCCATTATAAATATTCTTGATTCTTGATATTATTCTTGACATTCTTGACATTCTCATGAGTTAAAGATCCGACTATACAACAACTCATGCCTTCCAACCCAAAGATCCAGCGCAGGGACGACCTGCCCAGCTTCCTCAACAGGCGTATTCCATTCCCGCGCAATGCGCTTCATCATCGTATCCTGCAGCGCCTGACTAGCCAACACATTCTGCGCCTGGTAAGGGCCCATGACACCCGCTCTAACAGCCGCACTAAGCACCGCCTTGGCATGATTCATAACGAAGACATACGCCGTCTGCTGCAAGTCCAGACCCATAGCCCGACAGACAACACCCCACAGCGGGGCGAAGTGGCCCTTGGGGCCTAGATCCTCATCCTCCTCAAGACAAGACTTCAGCGCATCGGACAAATCATCAATAGCAGCGATGGCGGCCTGTGTACCCTCCGAAACCGGAGTCTCGGGGCGCGCAAAGCTGACTCTGAATGCGCGCTCCCAGACGCCTATGAGCGCGCGGCCTTGGGCGATACTTGCGCGCTGTGCGACGATGCACGGCGTTGATGCGTCTATGTCGTTGTCTAGTGTGTCGAGGGTTGAGGGTTGCCGGTGTCCGGCTAGCACGTAGGGGAGGGATGTGCTTGCGATTGAGGCGATGGAGAGTTTGAGGAAGCGGTGGAAGGAGGTTATTGGGGCTGTGCGGGAGGGCTTGTTGTGCGCTAGGTAGGACTCTAGTCCGCTGGAGTAGGCGAAGGAGCCTAGTGGGAGGGCGGAGTCTGAGAGGAGGAGGAGGGCGTGGAGAGATGGGCGGATTGAGGTAGTAGGGTTGGTATTATTGGTATTATATTGGGCTAGGAGGGTTAGCTAGAGGTATGCGACTTTGGGGGTATTGATTTGCTTACCTTTGACGGCCCATGACGAGAGGTGGGCTGGGGTATTCGGAGGCTGCTAGTTGAGCGCGGGCATCTTGGAGACGAGACTCGAGGAGTGTGACTTCAGCTTCGAGGTCTTGGGTGTCTTTGAAGAGCATTGTGTAATTATGAAATATGGCGTAGAAGTATAATATGTGTAGCTTTTTGTATAAAATACAGATTTAAACAGATTTAATGGGAATAATGGGAATAATGAGAAGCAATGTATGTGGACCAGGCTGTCTTATAGAAAGAAGCTCGCCGATCGGCAAAAAAGCGGAGGCCGCCGCACAAGTCCCGAGTGCTCCCTATCAGCTTGACTGTTTCGCATTATTAACTGCGTTTTGGCCCTGTGAGATATTTTTCACTATCTTGCTGATCATCCCACCCTATTTTCCCCGTCATGAACTAGAGTTTATCTCCATAACCATGTCAGGCAAGCGTCTGCTCGACGCTATCCAATTCCTCAATGTCTCCAAAACAGTTGCAGCCAAACACCTGGCCATCCGGCAACATCAGCTAGATGTCTACACGCGCACATCCTCCCTGACCAAGGGCATCAAGGCCCAGACAGAGGGCCTGATTCTGACCGCTCAAGCCGCCGCCGCATTGGCACGCCGATTTGACGAACCCTCGCCACCACCTCCGCCGAGCCCGGCAGACTTCCCCGACAAGTCGACATCGGCCGATAAGCCGCCCAGCAGTGTAACGTCGCCACCCCCCGACCTCGCCCGCAAACTGCAACGTCAGGCTGAATCGCAAATCCCGGCTTCGGCGGCAACATACAGTGGTGATGAGAAACCGAGCGCTTTGGATGTGAGCAAGCAGCAGGATGTCTTTTATGAGCCATCGCGTCGGTCGGAGCCGGATCTTTCGGGCCTGCCGAGAGTGAAGGTACCCAAGGTCGCAGGAGATGCTCAAGTTGGTAATGGTGGGTTGAATGCAGATGTCTTCCAGTCGTCTGTTGAACCGGGTAAGGCAGCCCCAGCCGAGGAGGAAATGTCCGAGGAGATGCTCCAGGGTCTTTTCCACAGCCCGAGAGTGTCGCGCATGATCTCTGGCAAGCCTCCGCCGAGGAGGGACTGGAAGCTGGCCGCCAAGCCTCAACAGTCGGTCGTGGATGACGTTAAACCGGTCACCCCCGTGGCTCCAAAATCCGACGCCCAGGAGATGGAGGAGCTTGCGGCCAGCGTTGCCGAAGACGTGGTGCCCAGTGCTAAGACTGTTGCCGAGGCCAAGGAGCAACAAGCGTACCAGATGCTAGAGTCGCGCGTGCCGTCCTCTCGACTGGGCAGGCTGTGGCAGTACGGTGGTCTGGCAACCTCAATGGCATTCGGCGCTGTCGGGGAGAGTTTACGACGGGCCACTGGCAGCCAGGATAATGGCTCAATTATGTTCAGTGCTGGTAACATGGAACGAATGGTAGCCAAGCTATCAAAAATGCGCGGCGCAGCTCTCAAGCTGGGCCAGATGCTGAGCATCCAAGGTGCGTTGCATCGCCTAGCTCACTGGTGTATCTAATGCCCATGCTAATTCCTCTAGACTCCAACATGCTCCCCGAACCAATCCAGCAAGTCCTCCAACGAGTGCAAGATCGCGCAGACTATATGCCCGCCTGGCAGCGCGACAAAGTCCTTACCGACAACCTCGGATCCAACTGGCGCGACCTCTTCACCACCTTCAACGAGGTCCCTATCGCAGCAGCCTCAATTGGCCAAGTGCATTCAGCCGTTCTCAAAAGCACTGGCCAAGCCGTCGCTGTAAAAGTTCAATACCCCGGCGTCGCCGACTCAATCGACAGCGACCTAAACAACCTCTCCATTCTCCTAACAGCCTCCCGCCTCCTCCCAAAGGGCCTGTACCTCGACAAAACAATCGCAAACGCACGCACCGAGCTAGCCTGGGAATGCGACTACATCCGCGAAGCCGAAGGCGCAAACCGCTTCCGCGAGCTCCTAGCCGACGATCCCGTCTTCGTCGTCCCGGAGATAATCGCCCACGCCTCAGGCAAACAAGTCCTCACAATGGAAATGCTAGACGGCGTCGCCGTAACCAAAGTAACAGACTTCACCCAAACGCAACGCGACTGGATCGGCACCCAAATAATGCGCCTCTGCCTCCGCGAGATCGCCGAATTCCACTACATGCAAACCGACCCGAACTGGACGAACTTCCTCTACAACGCCTCGACGAACAAACTCGAACTTCTGGACTTCGGCGCCTCCCGCGCCTACCCGGAAGAATTCATCACGCCCTACGTGCGCACTCTAATCGCCGCCACCCGTAACGACCGCCAAGCATGCCACGACCTCTCCATCGAGCTGGGATACCTGACCGGCATGGAATCGCAGGCGATGGTGGATGCGCACTTGAGCTCGATCATAACGCTCGCTGAGCCCTTCATGCTTTCCTCGCCGGATCTGTACGACTTCAGTAACCAGACGATCACGGACCGCGTGCGCGCGTTTATTCCGATTATGATTCGGGAGAGACTTGCGCCGCCGCCGGAGGAGACGTACTCGCTGCATCGGAAGTTGAGTGGGGCTTTCTTGCTTTGTGCGAGACTTGGTAGCTCGGTGCCTTGTAAGGCTTTGTTTATTGAGGCTGTTGAAGCGGCGCGGCGGAATGGTTTGAAGGTGGAGTAGAGATGTGACTATGTACTATTATAGACTCTGTATACTGTATTATATATGAAGACAATGAGTTTTGGACTCTTTTGGATTTATCAAGCTGCCTAGGTGGTTATCAAAGGAGCTGCATAATCAAGGTCGCCCTAAGTAGTGCAAAGACCGCGGGGATTCCTAGATTCCTAAGCATCCACGCAGCTCTACAATGTTTGATGGGAAGAATTGTAGATGTGGCTGCCTTCACCTGGGCACTGCCCAAGACTTATATGACGGGTAAATACAGAGGGTGTCTTATCGAAAGGCGAGCCCCATCTTCCCGTGGTCATCCCTACAAACACCTTGTATTTACCTGTAGTAGAAAGATTCCTAGTCTCGGACGGTTAGAGCCTCTAAGCCTCGGGAACAGTTTGTCAGTTTGGATCAGTGACGAGTGACGCCAGGTCAGGATGATCCAATAGCGACCTACAACCTAGAGAGCCCTCGGACAACTCGAAGGCCCGATGACCGAGCCCACGACATGTATGATAGTCGTACAGAAGACATGGGAAGACCCTCGGCAACCCTTTCCAAAACAGGGAAGGACGCCAAGGGAAATTATCTGATCCGGTCTCGGCCTTATCTGATCCGTAGACTATCTGGTCTGTTATAGGGCTGGTCAATTACACCGCAGCTCGGCCATTCGGATCGGACTCCTTCCCTGCTCCGGCGTCAGGGCCAAAAGTGTCCCACAGAGCGAGGCTAGATCGGCAAGCAATAAATACTCCTCCGTTTCCCACGCCAAGTCGACATCATGCAGATCCCGTCATCATTCATTCCACCATGTCTTGGGGTCCAATCCGTCTAATGCGCAAGACCGTCTTGGCCTTGAAGTTCACCATCTACGCAATTGGGGTATTTGCCCAGATCCTAGGCGAGAAGTTCGCGGCCCGCTCTCGAGCTCGAAGTCTACTTCCCGCCCCCAGCAAGGACCGCGAACTCCAGAACATCGTCGTCGTCGGCGCGTCTTTCGCAGGCTATCATGCCGCCCGCATCATCGCCACTACACTGCCCCCCAACAGTCCGTATCGAGTCATCGTGATCGAGCCCCATTCGCATTTCCACTTCACGTGGGTCCTTCCCCGGTTCTGTGTTGTAGATGGAGCTCACAAGGCCTTCATCCCATACGGACCGTACTTGAATGGTGCGCCTGATGGGAGAGTGCGATGGATACAAGACCGTGTCGCTGAGGTCGGCCGGACGACAGTACGGCTGGCCAGGGGCAACGAGGTAATCCCGTACGCCTTTCTCGTTATTGCCACGGGCTCGGGGGCGAACGACGGGTTACCATCGCGAGTGTGTGCCGATGAACAGCGTGAAGGACTGCTGCAGCTGGTAGCTATACGGACAAGGATCCGGGACTCGAAGGACCTTGTCATCGTCGGTGGGGGTGCTGCAGGCGTCGAGCTAGCGGCCGATGCGAAGCACAAGTATCCCGAGAAGAATGTCACACTCGTGCACTCCCGTGACGCTGTCATGCATCGCTTTGGTCCTGAGCTCCAGGCTGCTGCGACCAAGGCGCTGACAAGTCTCGGTGTTGAGTTGATTCTCGGGAATAGAACAACGGGCAATGAAACTGAGAATGGCGCTGTGAGACTGACCTCTGGACGGACGGTGGAATGCGACTTTCTGGTGTGTATAGCCAAGGCCCTCGACGAAATTATCACTAACCTAGATAACTAGGTCAATTGTTCAGGCCAGAGGCCATCCTCAGCACTCATATCTGATTTGAGTCCGGATGCTATTTCACCGACGGGATACATAGATGTCAAACCAAGCCTGCAGATCCGGGACGACAGCCTGCCCAACGTCTATGTCTGTGGTGATGTCGCGGATGCCGGTGTGCCCAGCCCTAATGCACGATCTGCCATGCACCAAGCCATGACGGTAGCAAAGAACATTGTGCAAGCGGCGACGGGCAATACCCCCACAGAGACATACTCGCCGTTCTGGGCGGACAGTGTCATAAAGCTGACACTGGGCCTCGTATGTATTCCAAGATTTCTTGCCAGAAATGGAGACTAACTGGGAAGTAGACCAGATCTGTTTCTTACCTCAGCGACGGAAAGGCCGAGCTGCTGTGGTCTGCCAAGGAGAAGGATTTGGCCTTGATGTCGGCGCAGGCATGGAAGCATATGGGTGCCACGCCATTTGAAGACCAAGGGGTGCCGCCTGCAATGACAGGACTTTAATGAGGCGGCGGTCATTTCACTCTAGTTGATATACTTGCTTTGTTAAGAGTTTTCCTGGGTCGGAGCTTTTTCTGGTTTCGGCGTAAGAGTACAGGTCGCCTTTGAGCTGGAGATGAAGGCATATTTGCCGACTTCACAGAGCTAATATTTATATATGTGTTCGATATACTAGGTACTCAGTCTTTCAGTCAATGAAGCCAGATATTACGCCAAAAAGGGAAGTTATTTAGCGAAGTCTCCCTGACTTCCCTAAGTATTTGCTTCGCTACGGTTAACGAACGTGTGTATCAAGCAAAGAAGTTTTGGGACCTTTTATATATCAAGCTAGGACATAGCGGACTAGCACTCTATAAGTATCTTCCTTCTAGATACAGTGATAGCGGACGTCGCTGTCTGGCTCGTCTAGCCAGAATTGCATAGCCTTTCTGAGGCTTGCACGGGTCTCCGACGAGCAACTTCCCCAGCGAACGTTGGCCATTTCCGCGACCGGCCACAATTGGGGAGTAAGGGTAATGACAAAGAGGTGAACCATTTGTTGAGCAGACTTGAATCTTCATTCCTTGCTTTCCTGCTGGCTGAATTCGGTGGCTTGAAGGAGTCGTGGCAGATTTGCATGCTGGTTTATCGGAATATTTCCTCATTCCATCTTGGCAAGTCTTCCTTGACTTGGCCGAGTGTCTTCTAGACCGTGAAGGAAGTCGCATTCTGCAGGTACATCGGGGCGCGATTCCAATCTTGATACGACATTGCACCGAAAGCGACAGATTTCACCGGATGTGAGTAGTATATCAGGTTCTGAGTGTTCTCATTCTGATCAACCCAGTGACAAAAGATGGTCATTGCCTGTTGCGTTACGGTGGCCGAACAGGCTTTGATAGCTCGGTCGAATGATAAGTGCTTTACTCCCTGTGCGAGAAGGCTACGCACTTGTTTGCTGCGTTGTGGCTGTCCTGTGCTTCTCCATCCATGCCTCCACTGTCGCCTTTCACTTCTAGCGAAAATCACGGGAAGATGAGGTCGGGAGTCTCTGAAATGGGCGAATCGATGGTTGACGGGATGAAGAGTCGGATCGATGTCCGGGGAAATAATAGCTGTCACGGGATACAAGGGAGACTCCTTTCTCTTGTAGGGGTTAGGCGCAGTGATATAGTGTGATATTCCTTGTACAACGAGTTACCCACAAACGATTCCATAAGCGCGGTGTATCCTCCCGTATTGTCTGTTTCAACGCATTCCAGCGTGAAATTCTGGAGTCGTCTAGGGATGTATCGTACAGAGGGTTGTAGTGCCGCCCGGCATGGGCTGCTTTTTCCGCACCTCTAGCATGCCAGGAAGAAGCAATGCGAGATAGAAGAAGGGTAGAGATATTTTGTCGGGACTTCTCCCTCGAGACGAGCCTCCGTCAGGAAAGTGTGAATTTTGGGTTGAATTCGAAGAAAGACTGGAAACGAGCCGCACGATCGAGGACCGGGGACAACTGGGCCTCGTTCTCACGAGGTTCAACAACATCTCTTCCAAGTTCGAGGGCTTTTTTTGACGATGAGAAGAACCGTATTGCCGTTCACGTGGCACACAAGTCCGGTGAACTTGTGGTCCAACTGCGAACAGAATTTGTATCCTTTTTCGTCGAGTTAGGTTCTCTTTTGTTCTTTTTTTCCTGACTGGAGGGAGCTGGACAGGTTGGCCACCAGTTGAGGCACGCTTGCACTTGCGAGTGGGCTTGCTATTGGCCAGGACAGGGTTAGGGGACTTTGGAGGAATATCAGCATCTTTTCCTTTGCCGTTTTGGGGACGGGTGCTGCCCCCTGGATAGTCTATGATCGCGTCAGACAGACCATGGCCCATCGAGTCGAGATCTCGCCGCATTTCTTTATTAAGGGCACCAATCGCAGCTGCGTGCTCAGGGCTCGGCATGGTTATTAGCAGTAGTTCAGGGGGCCGTAATGAACTTGCACGGGGTTCAGTGCCGTTGACTTGAGAGCTTCGGACTCTGGATCGAAAAGGGTTCCAAATTATTCTAAGAAGACTTGGACTTTCAAGAAATCTCCATGTAGAAACTTCATCCTGCTCAACTCAGTTGCACAGTCGAAACCGGAAGGCAGCACACGTGAACTTTCTTTGGCAGGAGCAACGGGTTACGTCGGTTTCCCCGTGAACCAGACCTCAGAGATCGTGGGATGGATTCGGCTTCATTTCGGATCTGGCTAGTCTCTCGGTGGATTGCATTTTCTGTATATACTAATATCAGTGAGTGGCTTTCGAATGAGCAGACTGATAGTGTTTACCTAACCAACGCCGTTTGCCGAGGTGTACGACGAGAGCAGGGAATAGATCCCTGGGATCGTCCAGATTATATCTGCGCTCTCATCTGGTACACCAAACGGCACGATTGTTAACGCCACCACCTCAGAACCCCATTGTTGCGGGCCCTTAAATAGCCGTCCCTCTGCTGCACACACTCGACGTAGTTCTCGTTTCCGCCTCCATCTCGCCGTCGAGCCTTCCGCGTGCTTCCTCCTTGACCCGTAGGTCAGCGGCAATCTTGGCATAGGCAGTCCGCAGCTGGTCCAGCTCCACTTCCTTGGCGGCCAGTTCGCCCTTCAGGGCTTTCTCTTCCCTGGCGGTTTTATGGTCATCTCAAGCCGCTGGACCAGCACTGCGTCTGCCTCTGCTGCCTTGAATGCCGCTGTTGCCTTCGCCAATTTCCCATAGTGGGCCTTTGCTGCCATCAGCTCCTTTTTGGTGAGCCTGCTCCAGCAAATTGACACGCTCCCCAAACGAAATTTCTTGGCCTTTAAGGCCTCTAGAGCCTTATGCCTAGTCACCGTGCTTTCAAAGACTGCGCCAAAGTAGGAGTCCCCATATTGGAGCACCCTTGTAGCTCGAGTTTTGTACGATACAAATCCACTCTAATAAGCACAGATCCGGAAATCTGTAAGTTCGTGTTCATAGGAAGGCGTTTTGCTGGTGGCTGGCCTCTTCCAAGAGGGGTCGGTGCATTCCGGACTTATTTATATGTCTTCGTTTGACCAATGACCCGCTACTCAAAGTGTCATAATGGCCCGCAGATGCATTGGTTTCATAGGCATCTGTGATTTTCACTTTGAACTTGGCCGGCAGGCTTTCAACAGCTTTTTCAAGGTCTTGAACAACCAGCTTCGGGTTTCCTTCGAGAACGAGTAGAACAAGGACGTGAGTTTCGCGGCCGGAGGGAAGTTGTGATAGTGGGCCCAGGCTCTACAGACGGATCACTCGAGGCCAACCAGCTCACCTACCGCGAACTCATGGCACAGCCCGAGGACCATCACGACGTCAAGCTCCTCAAGAGCCGTGGTCCTGTTGGCTGGGCTATGCGCCTTCTCCGTGACAACCCCATGGGTGCCGGCCTCCAGTACAAACAGTCCGCAGCAGCCTTCCCGGCACGGACCCAGATCAGCGGCCTACCCAACACGCACTTGTGTAGGCAAGTCGAAACCCCCTTTGGGAGTCAACCCCACTGCTCTGTCATTACAACAGAGCCGGCCTTCGGGAAAGAGTCGACTAACTCTTTCCCGAAGGGAAGAATAATAGACAGCCGCAATAGGGTAAAGCTCCATGATCTAGCGATAAGTTGTTCGCCTTGTCTGCTGGATAGCAGGATCCTGAGCTTCTGTCCTGCGACTATCTCGAGTCTACTCTTGGCCGAGCTGATGGAAGATCCTGCCAGTTCGCTGGATAGCTTTGAGTTGGGCTAATATCGCGTGATGTTATGGTGGCTGTCCGTCTAATCGGTGCACCATCCTCGCTATCGGTACACAGATATAGTCGGGCGATTTGTAGTTGACCGTCGTCCACATCGGATTACCCTCCACACAAGACAGATTCTGTCGTTTGCGGCGGGACATCCGGCTGGAGATAGGGTACGGGAACATGCGTGGGCTTCGTCAGTCTCAATATCCTTGTGATGGATGAATTTGGACCAGTCAACACGACAGCATGCAATGAATTGTTCATATCTAGATGTGGGGGTCTGTGTGGCGCCCTTGCTCCAGATGGAGGCGTTGTGTTTGATGGAATCAGACACTCCCTCATTGGCAAATCGAATAAATGACTTGAAAGTGGATAAGGGAACAGCAAAGTCAGGAGTGGAATGGTCGCTGGAGCACCAGTTCCGAAATTCGTTACCCTGAAAGAACCATTTGCATGTGTCTGGGACTCGCAGTGGGTTGTAGTTCTTGTCATCTTCGTAGTCAGGTGTCATCAATACTCATGTCTGCGGGGTTAACATGTGGTAGCTTCGTTGAGACCTGAGTGACATATTCCATCACTGGCGTAGGGATATCTTGATGCGAGGTAGGCTCCAAAACTTCGTGATCAGAACCTGAGGCGGGACCTCTTGGCTTCGGCTCACGCATCCTTTGAGTCAGTTAGATTAGATATTCTCAGCCTCAAAGAAAGAATAGTGAACCACTTACCCATATACCCAAGTGTCTGGGATACTCCAGTTGTTGCAGTTGCGCCTGGCTTATCTTCAACTAGCACACCATCGGGAGCAACGTCTTTCTCAATCCCGTACCACAGGCTGTAATCGGGGTATCCAACCAGGTCCTACTTTGCCCCTTTCGTATCACCAGGCCATAACGCCATAGGCCTTCAACATTGAGGCGCAACTCAATGACATTCAAGTCCGGACTAGGGTTGTCAGGGTGTGTGACATAGTGGTAGTGGTGTGAGGCAAGACCAAGGTTGTTGAGGGTGATTCGCGTCAATTCCTCGTCCTGCTCACTCTTCCCGAAGGTGTTTCTTGTGATCTCCATCCATTTAGCTTGGAAGAATCAGTCATGTGTCACATTGACTTCAATGTTCCTTTGGGTATACGTACCCCAAGTGAGAGATGGAACAGTTAGAGCCTAGATGCGGAGTTCATGTTGAGAGAAAAGCTCATCTTGTGGATGACGAGAGAAGAAAATGAACAAATTGGACGGGAGAAGAAATATTAAGCATACCGGACGATGTCAAGACGTAGACGTCTTTCCAGTTCAAAAGGAACCGAACGTTGCTCATCGTCGCGACTACCATTCATAGTTGTGGCGCGCGGGATTTATGTACCTCGCCATGTCTGTCAAAATTGTAGGTGAGGTTTTCCAACCTACCTAGGTCTGCTTCACGGGCAGCATAACCAAGGCGTAAATGACACCGGCGTCGTTGAGTCGACGGTTCCTAGGGCGGCAAAGGGACTCTATTGCTGGATGGTACTGTGACTGGCTTGTATCGGAAACGTCTCGACTTCTCCAGCAGAACCATTTGCCTCCTGGTGGAGGCTTTCTTAGCGGCTAAGCCCACAGCTCAGGTCAGAGTTATGGGACCTTACACGGGAAAATAGATTGGTATATTCCATGTATCTTTTTTGGAAGCCTTGTTCATCAGCGTTAGCCATATTTTTGCGTACGATAACTGGAATAAAACGACACGACATACCCTTCTTGGCCTAGAAGGAGCGGCACCCAAAGTGAAGACAAAGTGAAGACAAGGTGAAGGAAATATCTGGTGAAGTGAATGTTGGATTTTACCCCTCGATGTTTCCTTGTAGTACACGGGTACATATAAATATGTGTATTTCCTTCCTTCCTCCTTCCTTCTTCTCTCTTCCACCTTTCTCCTTCCCCTCCTCCCTCCTCATCACCACTACCTTTGAACTAGCAAACTGAAGGTAGCCTCTCTACGGCAACTAATGGGATCAACAAATATCCCTATCACTGTCGAGCAAAAAGGATATTGTGGATAACTTGACCACATCGATCAGTCTTGTCTCTCATCCATGGATCATTCACGGAGTTTCTTGTCACTTCCTTGCAAATCGGTTACCCAAAGGCAGGCGGAGGGTGATGAGCCGATACTATGGCAACATGGAGATGCCCCATCATAGCGACAGTTGTTCCCAGAGGAACAAAAGCGCATGGGGCATTCAACTTAACGTTGACGAGCCTCTTCACTTTCATCTGTGCGGTTTCGGTACCTAGAAATCCGCGAGGCCTGCATAAAATGCATAATGGGTATGTACAGACATCATGGCACTCGTTGGCAGCAGCTTATACATACGTTTTATAGCACAGGGAAATGTGCCACGGTCGGCCATGATGTGCCCGCCCTGCCATCCAACAGTACATGAAGAGAACAAAAGTCAATGGGGTGGCCTGTGGTCCTAATGAGGGAACAAGCCCTCGGGGCGAGAGAGTATCGTTTACTATGCGACTATTCCGTGCAGTTCAGCACTTTGAAGGCCAATCAAGTGTGTCCACAGACGCCTTGTTTCAGGAAACACAGCGACAGAAGCCACGGAGTGCTCCAAGTGCTGTGTTTGAAACTCTCAGTGGTACCCAGCCACTCAGACTCGTGTTCAATGACCACACTCTTTCCTCGCGCATCCCACGCCGTTCATCACATGTGAAGGAGAAACATGTACTTGTCAAACTGAAGTTACCAACACCACCTTGGTGTTGAGCCTTCTCACCTTTATCCATGCTGCCGTCATAAGCGTCGCCAAGCTTATACCCAAGGCATGCCCCAGAGGGCTCAACTGGTTCTGGAAGGCACCAGACAGTGAGCCTCTCGAGGAGAGGATTAGAAAGCTCGAGGAGGACATCCGGGCGTTGAAGGCAAGGACGACCTCGGATGTGAAAGATTTAGAGAACGAGGTCCAGAGCGATCGTGCTCGGATTAAGAGGCTGGAAACCTCGCATTCCGGCCTGAAGGAGGATAAAAAGGCCCTCCATAAGAGGGTTACCACCCTGAAAGAGACCCTTGAGCATAAAGTCAAGGTGGAGGTTGGGGAGGGGGTTTTGCGCCAGCGCCGATAGCCTGGCAAGGAGTGGTCAAAGGATGAGATCGGCGATGGGGAGGGGCAGGCAGTATGATCACATAGCTGCCTTTTTCAATATCCTTTTCAATATCTTTTTCAATGTCTTTTTTAATGTCTTTTTTAATGTCTTTTTTAATGTCTTTTAAGCCAGTTATAGGAATTCAGGTATTTTAATTCCTCCAGGCCTGCCCTAAAATCTGACTCAGTTAAGGCATCAACTCTCAAAACTCAGGCATTCCACGGCTCTCCATTATGCCTTCCATAAATTGCCAGCATTTCTATAGGGTCTGCTTCCTCCTGCCTTTTCTCTTCCTTTCACATCTAAGAGCTGCATCTCTCACTTCTCACTTCTCTCACTTCGGAGCATCTCTCACTTCGGAGATCAACAGCAGTTCTCCAGGTTAACCTCCCTTCTTTTGACTCAACTTCCCGAATATTCTTATCCACTTACGGCTGTTGGATCTGTCCGTGGAAGAACACATGCTTTATCAGGCCTTTCATGCTATGGCCCCGCGTCCTCAATATGACCCAGCATTGTCACGATGGGCCGAAGATATGGCCGAGCTAGATCAGTTTGAACTTCCTAATGTGCGAACTATTGCCAGGAACCTGGAGGTTTTACGCACCCAGTCGCAGACACACCCGAACGCGCGCTACATGTTGGTCAATGGACTGATTCCCGCATATCACTCGATCAAGTCGGTTTCGATTGCAAACACTTAAATGACAATGTTTGCTAACCAGCACCGCGTCGAGTTATGGTATCTTCTCTCGTCCCATCCATCTGGTCCATTACTCGATTGATGGTCAGTCTCTTGCTTTGTTCCTCACTTTTAGATAATTGATCTACCAACAACCTCCCACACAACAATGATATCGCATCCTGGAACAAGGCCAAAAGCTGGGAGGCATTCGTGGACAGTACTCAACTGACCGACGCTGATCGCCATCGTTTGGCACTCCTCACATTACCCGCTCAGAAAATGTGGACTTCAAGCACGAGTTCACAGGCTCAGACACCCTCCTCCCGACTCTTCGACGGTGGCGTGATGCGGGAATACCCGCCGAATGGGCCTGGGGTGCAACAATGGAAAACTTTGACCCCTATACCCTATGGTGTGGAGAAACCCGCCGTCTTCGCAGTTCATACGTCTGCAAGTCTAGGGCAAGGGCTATTCGGCAGACTTGAAAATTTCTCGTCCCAAGAGCCCCTGGCTCTCTTCCCAAAACCTCTTTCCTGGTATGCGCGTGACCATTTCATCAAAACGGCGTTTGCGTGTGATTTTCCAGCAACTTGCAGACCAGAAGGTTATTCGGCCGTTGGATAAGAAGCACTATGGACATCATCAGAAACTCTTAATCGTGGATTCAGTCCCGATTAATGCCTGGTACATGGGGAAAGTTCTCCGCGCTGCCCTTGTAGACGCGAAAACGCTGCACTCCTCCCTTGACCAGCAAGAGCGATATCTGCTGGTCAAGCACTTCAATGATCCGAGGAGTGAGTTGAAAGTTCTGATAATGACTTACGATGTCGGTTCCGTCGGCCTGAATCTCCACAAAGCATGCAACTGCGTTATCCTCACTGCGCCGAGCAGAAGCTGGAGCCAAGAGGCTCAGGCAACGGGGCGCGCGCTTCGGGTATGTTAAACGTCTATTTTATCCACACCCTCTATAGCCCTCGATTCTTAGCTCTACAGAATCCTCCAAATCCGTATTGATATTGCGGTATACTAATGTTATATAGATCACTTCAGAATTCCCTCTGGTAGTCATCCGCGTGTCAACCCCAAACACCCATGATCCGTTCCGAAATGCAAAACAAGCCGACAAGGCTTGCTTGCAGCTCGCCGTGAACGCCCATGATCCGGACTTCAGATCAATGATGCTGAAGGAGTTGATCGCCATCCAGCCTGAGGTTGATAAGTGCCATGCATCGGAAGAGACTCGCCAAGCAGAAGAAGCAGAACGATGAGCATCTGGACCAAGGCCTCGCTGAGTTCCTCCGGCAATGCCAAGAGGGCCGCTTTAAGCGCTAGGGGGGCACGATCTGAGACCCCTAAATCCTGAGACTGGGGAACAAAGCGCCTCGGTTAGTAAGCGTGATCGAAAAGGAGGACAGAACTACCTAGGTACGCGATTGAAGACCCCTCCGACCAGGATAACGAGAGTTCCCCTCCCCCAGAAGATGACTCACGCGACGAAGACTACGTCGGCAACGCCACTGATGAAGGAGAATATGATGATGAAGAGGACGAACTCGCCTCTCTCCTATTCGCGGCGGAAGCTCTCTTCCAGCACGTCGGCAGCGTCCCCCAACTCCAACGTATTACGTCACTCGACCACGCCGGCCTGGTTGACTTCCGCGCCCGCTTTGTCGAAGGTGACCCACGTGTGGTTCGCGCAATGCGCGATGGTCCCAATGCCGCAGCCAAATTTCAGCCGTTTGGTTGGATCTCTCAGATTGGCCGTCGGCCGATGGGTGGTATGCAGCCGTGTATAGTAACTTGGTACGCAACGCAGTGAAGAGTCCCTTCCAGAAACCCTTTACGAAGCGCTTATCGCGGTCTGATATCCATACGACTGGGATGCCCCAGTCACCCTTTTGTAGATCATAAAACAGGCATTTGCACTTGCCCTCTGCTGCTTTTACGACGATTCCACCCTTTATGCATTGCGCTGGCGCAAGGCCAACATTTCTCACCCGGTTGACGGATAGCGCAACGGCAAAAGACCTGGTCCTTCCACTGGCGGCAAGATTCATATGCCCACCGTCGCCACATGGATGGTCTTCCGTTTCTCAATCCACAATTATTGGGACAACCTTAAGCAGGAAGCCCGTCTCGCCTTGTCCTATGTGCGCCTGACAGATGAAGGCGAGTTCCCCACGCACATCACTACGTCAACCTGACCGAGAGGGCAGAATTTTAAGACGGGGATTTCTCATCGGACGGATCCTCGGATGCATCAAATGCCTCGGAGTCAGAGAGCGACGGCGATAAAGAACCTGCAGCACCGGGGAAGGGCACTGCGCACGCTCGTGATCTCGCATCCCGGAACAAAGCCAAAAGCTGGGAGGCTTTTGTGGACCATACTCAACCGACGGATGCTGATCGCCATCGTTTGGCACTCCTAACATTACCCGCCCAGAAAACGTGGGCTGTGAAGGATCTAGACAATCCTCAGTTCTATATGATCTCACTTCGACTTATGTACAACAGAATGCGTGGGGTGAAAACTCTGCACCTCGGAACAAGCATTTACATAAACTACCATGATGATCCTTCGTTCCTTGATATCGCCAAACGTATCCTCCGAATCGACCACCCAGCGCCGCGAATCACTGGGGGAGTCCATCAAAGATATAAAGGACACTTCTTTCTATGCCGCAAAGGCCGATATCAACAAGGGAGAAGATGGATGGCTGCCAGATTCTGTCAGCGAGTATGAGGCTGCTCTGAGGTGGATTCAACAACTTGAAAAGGAGCGGGACACATATTCAAAAATGCTCAAGGGGGCATACTACCTTGGGCATATCGTTGCCGGAAGTGGCATGCATCGCACCCGGCTCGATGGGGACAACCGTCGAGTGGCCGTTGACTGGGCTCTGATAAAGATTTCGAGTAATAGAATCCACCGGCAAATTAATGGAGATCGCGTCTCTGGAAACAAGGTAAGTTGGATGTCATATGTGACTTTCCTCGGGCTAATTCATGAATTTTTAGGGGTTCCAGTACAGCAACATGCCGACCAACCCCCCATATCATGGTGGTCATGGATTCGCGCGACGGATTGAAAATTTACAAATCCGGGCGATCTACTGGCATGACAGCTTCTGTATGTCACGGCTTGGAATCTGTTAGGCTTGATCGGTTGAAAGCAAGAAGGGAGATGGATACCATCCCGTCATCACTTGAGTTAACAAGATTGCAACTTCTGAAGATTCCTTTCCATTTGCAGATGATGGAGACTCTGGGTCTTGGGTAACAAGAGTGGATGGGAAGGTTCTCCGAATATTAACCGGAGGTGATGAGCGGCAGGGAACGACCTACTTCTGCCGGATAAATGACGTGTTCGACGATATCAAAGATATCACCGGCGCAGCTGAAGTCAGAATCGCTCCGCCGCCAGTTTTGTGACTTGTACTTTGTCTGTTCTCAGGGAATGCGAGTTTGTTTACATTACTATACCCAAAATATCATGTACTAGGTAGGGTATTATCATGGCTAAAGTGTTTGGCAATACTTCCGTACTAGTGACGTAGTATCTATATCTCCTACTTGAGTGTCTTCACTTTACACCTACTAAGCGCCGAAGGGATATACGAGTCGCAATGCACGATGCAAGTGTATCATTTCAATGTCCCACCACTACTTGGAGAAATCAATAAGGTAAACTAAGCCACGGCAGAAAGGCACTGGTTATGCTTTCTAATAAAGACACATGTAAAAATGGAGAATAGGACTTCAACAACTCGTTATGCCATATGTCGGACCAGCAGCTCAAAAGTACAGTCAATCCACCCCAAAGACAGCACCCCAGTAAACGCTCACCGCGTCGCAAATTCCCTCATACGCAAGCCAACTCTGAAACTTATCCTCAAGCTCACAAGCCGTCCAAAGAATCTCCTCCCAAAACCCCTTCTCAACATCAACCCTACCATTAAACCCCCGTACAACATCAACCGGCAATGTCCAAGCCCGCGTATACTCACCCTCATCCGTATACGTAGGGTTAACCTCATGGATCTCAAACACAGTAGCAGGATTGAACTTTGGGAAGTTGGCATGGATGAAAAATACATCTGGCGCGGGTGCATCATCGCCTCTGACACGCCATATCCCACGACTAGTCGAGGCGAAGTCCTGAGCTGGATCGAACTGCGCCATTGCAGAACCGGCCAAACCGCTGCGGGTTTCATGCCCGAGGGCGCAGATAGACTCGCTGACCTGGTAGAAGGACTCTTGCATGGCCGTCGCGGCTGCGACGAAGGTCTCCTTATCGCCTTCGCCGGCTGCGCCCTGTGAAAGCAGCGGATAATAATGCGAGGAACCGTGGTAGTTGTAGTATGTTGTTAAGAGGAGGGTTCGAAGATGTGATCTCTTAGAGAGGAGGACTTCGCCCGATTCTGTTGATTGGCGTAGGTCCATTGGTGGGGGTGGGTAGTTTGCAATATCGTAGAAGAGCGGGGAAACAGATGAAGCCCAGAAATCGGGCCAGGTGAGCATTCTCTTTGAGAGGAAGGGCTCGGTCGTGAAGAGATGTTCTGGTTTCTGGAGGGGGGAAGGCGTCTGCGTCTAGGAAGAGGAGGTCCTCGAAGGACGAGAAGAGCATTGCGAAGGGCTTGAATTGGTATTTCCCGATTCGGGCTGGGGCGGAAATGAGAATACGGGATAGTACTATGCACCGCGCGTCCAGGGAGGGGAGGACTATGTCGCATATGTACTCTTCGTACTCGTCTTCGTCGGAGAGGAAGACTTCCATTGGGAGGGTGGAGCCGGTTCGGCGGAGCATGCGGAGGGATATCACTAGCACTGGGAGGTACGTCCCTCCTGCTGTTGAAACTATGCCTTTTGTGCCCGGGAGGTAGGGGAGATCGGGTGGGGAGTTGGCGATTGTATTGACGAACCCGGTATGCGCTTCTTTCATTGTTGTGACGTCTTCTTCTGGAATGTAGAGTGTATCTGGGCGTGGTGGTGCATTGCGGGCATTGAAGCCTTCTGTGGACGCCTTTTCGTATTCGATGATAGGCTCTGTGTCTGGCGCATACTTTTCTAGCAGGGCGTGGAATTCCCGCCAGAATTGGCGATGTGAGGGTGTCAGGTCTGTGATGGCCTGTGGAGACGAGAGATTGGGGAGGTAGGCTTCGAGATGTCTCAATATTGTCCAGGTGAGAAAGATAAGGAGCATCAATGCTGCAAATAGCGTTCGTATGCGCAAAAAAGATCGCGGGATCATCGTGGAGTGTCTCGGATGTCAGTCTACTTCCCCACAGAAGCTCGGATAAGATCGACGCCAATGACGTCGATGGTTCAGGTACCCGTGGACCTTCAATGAATGATATATTCGCATATCATATAAACAAAGATAATGTCAATGAAAGCCTGAGGTTTGCAGAATGTAAACTTTGAAGATTATCCCTTGGTTGCACAGACCCCTTGTTCTCGACAACCATAAGCCTCTATACGGCAACCTACCTACAACCCATAGGAGAGCAAATCTTTCTATTGGGCTCTACGTATGGTGTTGACAAGCCTCGTTCCTTAACGGGTAGACTGACGTCTTTCATATAAGCACCATATAAACAAGTACAGATCGTGTTTAGTGGCCATTAATATAGCAATATATCAAGTCTCCAGCTGGAGATATTGCCTAAAAATGAGAACCGGGCAAAGAATAAGAACTCAATAAGTAATCCATTGGACATTAGCTGTGTACTACCTAGGTACATTGGTCTCCATGTCAACTTCAAATCTGATATGTGTAAGCCGGAAACCCCCGTGTCGGTCCATGCCTAGCCTCCTCCCTCAGAGCCTTCAACTCTTTATCTTTCTCTGCACTTTCCGCCTTCAACTCCTCATTTTTATGAGTAAGATATTCAACCCTCTTAAACGCCGTTGCGATGGTCGTCAGCTTCCGAGCAAGCTTATGCGACAGATCAACCACAAACTCTCCTCCCTCGGTGATAAGTTCGTCCAGATCCTCACCAACCAGAGTGGTGTACCGCAGCGCCACAAACTGGGATAGCAAGTTCCTCGCATCATCAACCGTACTGGTGGTTTTGTAGATCAATCGGATTGCATCCACCAAGTACGGGAATGGGGCCTTGTCTGTTTGCTCCAGAGCAACAAGAACCTGGGCCAGACGATTCAAGGCAAATTGCTCCAGTTTCGCGAAGTCGAGTTGACTTGCGAAGGAATAGACTTTCGCGTGGAGATAAATCTCCGCGGCCGTGTTTCCCTCGGTTTCTTGTTCGGGCTCTTCTTCATCTTGGTCTTGCTTTTCGTGGTCTGCGACCTTTTGGGCCGAGTCGTGCTCTGTTGCCAGAGTGACCCCATCGCAGTATTCCAAAGGAGTCAGAGGTCGGTCATTAAGGTCGCACTCTGATAGGGCCTGGGTTGGTGGAGAGTCTGGAGCTAGGGAGGGCTCTGCAACTGGTGACAGTGACCTTGCACGTGGACGAAACATTGGGGTTGGTGACTGTGGCCATGAAGCTTGCGGCTGTGGGCTATCAGGTGGTGACGGTTGTTCTGCGTGGTTGATTTGGTATTAGTGTTTCGATCCTTTTTGATGATGAGAACGGATGATGCAAGAGGGTTTATTACCGTCTTCTTCATCCGCTTCGTCTGCCTCATCTACCATTACTTCTTGTTCTTCCTGCTCTGGTTCTTCTTGTTCCTCTCCATCTTGCGCTGGGGCCTCTTCCCCCGCATCTGCCTCACCATCTTCAGCTGTCACAGAGGTCGCTTGAGGTGCTTGATAGCCTCCACTGTAAAGGAAACTCAATACACAATCAATGGTTTGCTCATCAAAACCACTCCAATCAATGGCCTCCTCATATTCGTCAGTTGAGGCCTTCAGTCGGGCATCGAATGCGGGGTGGACCTCGAGTGTACCACGGTGGACATAGTAAACGCGCTCGTCACTACCCACGACGATCTTGACTGGCGGCTTCGCAAAAATCGACCTGTTTGAAGTTAGCAAGAATCAGCGAGGTCGTAAATAGACCATAGTCTTGTGTGGATATACTTGGAGGTCTTCGAGTCGGACGACATGGTTGAAAATTCAAGGACGGACAAAGGAGAAAATATAAAAGACGTCCCTAGAGAAAGTTAAGACGATCAGGAAGTAAATGTTACGATGTTTAAGTAGGGAATCCCAGAGCACAGTCCTGATAAAACCAGCCAATAAGTCCTTGGCAGGTGCTTTTGACAATGCAGTGAGACCCAATCTATTTTGAAAGTAGGGCGACCTCTAGCAGGCGTAAACGTGGGCTCACTAGGCTGTCGCATTCTCTACATATGTACATATGTACACAGTCAACCGGCATATATACATCGCAGTCCATTGCAGGCCTTTGCAGCTACCTCTATTAATGTGGCCAGGGCTTCAAGGTTACAAGACATACAAGTACCTACGTATGTACTTATGTACATTTTACATTTTTCCTATTATCATCCACTTGAGGCAACCAAAACAAATTCTATTATTTCCTCCGTGCAGTTCTCGGCTACACTATGGCCCTTAGCAGCGAATGGTCACCGGATGGCGCTGGTAGAATCGACTTTGGACTTGATAGCGCTAGGGAATTGAGACCCTTCGAGAAGGCGATTGACTACGTGACCATTGCCAGAGATTCACGAGTATAACTATGCTGATGTCCGTTTTGCTTTGATTCTGGTTATAATACTAACATGGGGGGAAGAGATCCAAAAAAGACATACAATATCTGAGAATAATACTAAAAAGACTACTAAAAAGACTATAAGCGACATCATCATAATTAAGAATATTTAAACATTGGGAGTATCCAGAAATGCCGAAATATGACTGGAGCGGATACTTCCAAGGTTAGCTCGGGAAATTGTGGGAACTGCTCTCTTCCTCTTCTTCTTCTTCTTCTTCTCGACTTCTTTACTTCTCTTCTCTATATTACCTGCATTTATCATACATTTAATTAGCCATGTCAAGCCATCGAATTGGCAAAGATAGCTCCATTCCCCAAAGAAGGCGAGATGGCTGCACAGAATGTCGCCGCAAAAAAGTCAAAGTAAAGAACTTCTTGCTGGCCAACTGAACGTCGCTAATAAAATATCTAGTGTGACCTGAAGAAGCCTATCTGCTTGCGCTGCACTCGGTTTCCCAAAGAGTGCAAATATGATATTAATATCATCAACCGGAATGTAGTCACTCACACAAGGCCAAGTGAAGCGAATCGTCGCAATGAGAACGTCAGCCAGAGCCTAAACCCTATCGCTCATCAGCCTGTTCTAAACCTATCACCATTTCTATCATCAAAAGAATCTCAATTTTTCATGCATATATTTAACACTGAGACTGCTCCGCGGCTGTTCCCCGCAGCCCCAGCGCTCTTCCTGCAAAGAATCATTGCATCTTCCTTGGAGTCACCCCATCTTCTCTATGCTCTCCTCGCATCTGCTTGCAGTCACCACAGCCGACTCGTCCAAGACACAGGACCAAATTCAAGGGTGTCCTGCTTGAGGTTTACGAACTTGTCAATTTCCAGTCTGCGCTCTGCTCTCAGTGAAACGGATGCAACACTGACAGCGGAGACTGTCACAACGGCGATGGCTCTGTGCACTAACGATGTGTGCAATGGGAATATGCAGACATGGCGGACTCATCTTGGTGGGGTAATGCGTCTTTTAGGTGCCTTTCTGGATAGTCAAGGAACACCGCGCATTGCTGACCCTTACATTCAATGCTTAGTCAAATGGTTCACGACAATGGATGTTCTCGCGGGATTATCGGGATTGGGTACTAGTGGTATGATGAGCTCTGACACTAGGCTACTGGATAGGTCTTTTGATCTGTTAACCCCGCATGTCGACGATATATGTGGATACTCCTTGAAGTTGGCTCCGCTGCTTGCGCGGCTATCTCAATTGCTGCAACGCCAATGCCACACTGGCCCTGGGATGCAACAAGATATCTTGGCAGAAGCTCGAAGGCTTGAGATCGAGATTCTTTCCCTTGTTGAGTGCAGTGTTTCTGGTGGAGATTCTATTGAGCTGAAGAGTACACATCTTGCCTTTGTTCACTCTGCTTTATTACATCTCCATCGGCGAGTCCAAACACTTCCAAGGAACCATGAGACGGTGAAAGAGGACATCAGGAATATCATAGCCGCAGTGGAAGATATCCCACCCTTCTCTTCTGCGAATATATTGATCCTTTGGCCTATGTTCAGTGTTGGCTGTGAAACCGACGACACCAATGAACGTGAGTTTATCCACAATCGGATGGGCGACATGCAAAGTCTTGGAATGGGAAACTTTACAAGAGCGCGAGAGCTTCTGACTAAGTTCTGGGCATCCAAAACATCCTTGCCTTGGGACATCTATTTTGCGGATCTTGGATTGGAATTGGTGCTATTCTAGGTGATCCGAGTGCCCTCATCAAGCCAGTGGCAACTTCTCATACTTATCACGCATGAACTGTCTCAGAGTATTCAGTCCATCAACTATCACCTGGTTTTCCTGGACGTAGCCCAGTCGCACATATCCACGGAAGTCCACACCACCGCCGAAGCACTGGCTTCCAGGGACCAGCATCACCCCGGTCATTTCCTGGAGTCGCTGGCAAAATACGACATCGTCAATTGCTCTGCCTTCCCTGTCAACAAACTTGATGAACGCAGTCGTTCCAGCCTTTGGCTTTGTCCACTTCATAGCCCAGTTGTGCTCTTCAATGAATGTCTCAAGGATTTCGAGATTCTGGCGGGACAGGCGAAGATTGCGCTGCAACAAGTTTTCCACGCATGGACTGGACAAGGCATGAGCGGCCACGCTATCATCGATCTGGCCAACCGAGATGAGAGTATAATCACGAGCAGAGGCACAAGCTTCGATAATCTCAGGATTTGGCGAAGCAATCCAACCCAGTCGGATCCCAGCCAAGCTGAAAGCTTTGGACATGGAGCCCGTTGCGATAACATTCTCATACCCGAATTCAAGAATAGACGGAGGAACTTCTTGCTCAGAGCCGAGAGAATGGAACAGAGGTCGATAAACCTCATCAGAATGAATCAGGATACCATGCTCGCGCGCGATATCAACAATCCCCTGCAATTCCTCACGACGAAGAATCGCCCCAGTGGGATTCTGGGGATTACTATAGACTGCAGTCAGTAAAAATCCAGTCAATATCCACCAAAAGCCATACATACTTCAAAATAATCATCGTCGTGTTCGGCCTAATCAAAGACCTCAACTTCCCCAAATCCATCTCCCACCCATTCCCCTCTTCCGACCGCCACAGACTAACCTCCGCCCCGAAAGACTCTGGAACAGAGTATAATTGCTGGTACGTCGGATATTGACAGATAACATGATCTTCCGGCCCGACGTGAGTATAAAGCGCCAAGAAATTAGCCTGGATGGCACCGTTTGTGACGAGGACGCGATCGGCAGATAGAGATTGCGAATACAATTTTGCGATGTTGGTTCTCAGTGCCTCGGATCCCCGGATTGCGCCGTAGACTTGCTTCTGTGTGTAGTCTACCAGATCCTTTTTCGGGGATAGGGCTAGTAGGTCATTGAGGGAGATGGATGCACAGCATGTTTCGGCCAGGTTGTGTTTTGCACTGGTTTCGTAGAGGTCCATCCACTTTTTGATGTTAGTTTCTATCTAAATAGGTAGGTTGATTGGTTTTGGAGCTGTGTACTTGTTCCACTGCGAACGCGTTGATTCGGACCATTTTGTGCTGGGCTTGGTGTTGTAAAGAGGGCAGTTTGCGTATGAAGGAAGGATATAGAATTTTGAGACTCGGATAGTTTTTGAGGATTTTATATACATCGACCTCGCATCTTTGGAGACTTGATGTGGATGATGTGATTGGCTGGATCGCATATGTGTCCCAATTAGGCAATATTGCGGCCCTGGCCCACCGGACCACGAAGTCGGTGTATATTGTCTATCTACCGGTAGACATTTCTGTTTCAAGCGGAATATAATGTCGTGCAAAGATTGGATAGGTCGCCTCCATTACCTAGCTGGATTCTTGGCAGCTTAATGACAGGTTTGCGTTTAGCCCGCCATGGATGGCAGGTTCAATTGCATCTTATTATGATATTATGCACTAGTATCTGTATATCAACCTGACTCGTGGCTGTTCTCTTCCTCCTCCAAGATCGTCGAGTAGGGTAGGAACTTGCGATCCTCCGTCTGCGCTTCTAGGTAGTCGAAGGATGGTTTCTGAGGTTCAGAATCTAGAAGCTCCTGTTTTACACGAGGCCGCCGTGGCTCATCCGACTCTTCAATTTGCAGGACTTGTGATATGGTACTGCCGGTGAAATGTAGGACCATGCCTATAGTGGCTCCGACAAGCACCGCCCCGGTCATGAAGTAGATGAATGCCTATTAGAGCTTAGTAAATGTGCCACCAAGGAGCTACGATATGGACACATGTGATAGCATAAATGCTGTCTCATACATACCTCTAACTTAATGAGGATACGCAGTGGAAGCAGAGCCAGGTATAAGACGACATGTCCGATGTAGATCACTGGCGATGCGAGGAAGAGAAGGGTTGACAACAAAGTAGGACAGTAATTGGATTGTAAAGCCAAGAACGAGCAACAGAGGGTATTTCACGATCGATACCCAGCCCATGATTATTATGAAGCTATGTAGCAAAACAATGTATGCATCTTGACTCTGTTATGATATCCAAGTAACACGCGCCGCGGTCCAGCTGCCAAGCCCTAAGCCCTATATTACCGGATTGGGCTTCCGGCGTCATCAGCGTCTACTGTACTTTGACAATGTGAGTACATCAATCGACTTTGATTACTGCCCACCGCCAATTCTTACTTTTGAGCTAGCATCGGAAGTGTCTTTCTTCAACCCGCCATTGTGACTTCGTTCGACCACCCTCTTTCCCCAACTCGCAGCAAAAGCTCGGCCTAAAGTCATCTCACCTATCCCCGCCTTCGATGGGCAACAACCCTTCCAAAGGCCCGGTGGGCGACGCGTCGCCGGCCCATGCCCACCACAGCTCTACAAGCGACCGAAAGGTCGCCCGTCGATCATCCATTAATACAATCTCGGGCCCAAAGGCCACAGCGGCTGATCCCTCAGCTACAAAGGAGACAGCCGCTGGGCACTCGGCAGGATACCAAGGGTCCGTGCAAGAGCGTCTACAATCCCGAAATGTTCCCGAGTCAGCGCCTAAGAACATAGAGAAGGCTCCGGCACCAGATACACGTCGATCTGAGCCTTCCGCAATTAAGGATATCCCATCCCGCGACCACTCCAACCCGGTCCAAGTCCCGATCTCGCGCAATGTCCCGGGGCGCGATCCTGTGGCACCATCGGCCCCGCCCCTCAACTCGTACTATAGCGCATCGGCACACCTACAACATCCACCGCGCTTGCCATTGCCAATTGGCGATGCTAACACCACACCCGGATCGCCTGTTGCCGGCCCTGAGGACTCGCATATCCAGTCGCTTCCCGCGGATCGGCTCTTAGATGAACGGATGGATCCAAGTACTCTGGCTTCAGGTCATATAACCATCGAAGAGGAGGAGTTGCTTGATGAGCTCCAGCCATACACCATCAGTGGCGCGGGCAAGGCCGTCCCGGTCGTTATCGAGTGGACAGCTCCTGCACAGAAGGTCTATGTTACTGGAACTTTTGTTAACTGGGAGAAGAAGTTCCGTCTGCACAGGAGGTTGGTTAAATGACTAGGTTGATATTCTCGAGACTCGACTAATACTCGATAGTGAACAAAATCCGTCCGTTATGTCTGCTACTCTGAACCTTCGACCTGGCACGCACCACTTGAAATTCATTGTTGATGGGACAATGCGCGCTGCGGACAGTCTTCCGACTGCCGTCGACTTCACTAATCATCTGGTCAACTACATTGAAATAAGTGCAGATGATGCTCATGACAAGGACTCGGGTGTTCCGTCCGGAGCTCACACTCCACACACATTGCCGGATGCCTCTAAGCAGGATCCAGGAGATACCGAGGCCCACCCTCTAGGAAAGGAAGAAGGCGAGGAAGAGGTTCCACCCGGTGATTTCGGTGATGCCATTCCTCAATTCCTCGCCGATCTAGATAAGGAAGAAGATAGCCCGGCCTATGTCCAGGCCGCCAATGTCATTGGAGACACGGCTACCCCTCCCAGTCTGCCTCTATTCTTGGGCAAGTCAATTCTCAATGGCACAACTCCCATGAAAGACGATAGCAGCGTCTTGAACTACCCGAACCACACTGTCCTCAACCACCTCGCCACGAGCAGTATCAAGAACGGTGTCCTGGCTACAAGTGTGACAACCAGGTATAAAAGAAAAGTAAGTTACTGGTCTCTGCACTTTTCGTGGATTGACTAATCTCGTGTTCTGCAGTATGTCACGACTATTTTGTACAAACCGACTGGCGATATCACGGAATGAGCCATGTCCGAACATATCGGCGGTTTTTCATTGCATACAGACATTCTTTTGCCGAATACTGCCTCGGACCTGTTGTGGTCTGTTCGATCTGCAGAGATAAAAAGATCTACAAGCAATTTCCTGCCTTGTCCGACTCATTGACCCTCGCCAGCCTGCTTCCTGTCTGTCCAGTTTCCTCGTTCATAATGGCAACTAGATCCTACTACTAGATCGCCCAGTCATTGACTACAACCAGCACACATGAATGTGCGTTTAACGATCCGTCTCAGTGAGGAGATGACCACATATTGCATATTTTCTCAGGCGTTACTTGTTGGGTGTTGGGAGAGGGATTGGGATTGATCATGGGCAAATGATACAGTTGTACAGGCGCTTGGATTTATGCAGGAATATTACAAATGTCTTGAACCCCCACTTGGGATGAGTGGTGAATGTTGAATAACTTTTTCCAAATTTATCTAACGGAATTCAAAAGGATATCAGATCTGACTCGCTCAATTCATAACACATAATATATATAATTTTTGGGTTCAGACAAGACATCGATATCAATCCCGCCACTTCACAAACACTTCGTCTGTACGGAAGCGCTGGGTACAAGTACTCTCACTCAGAGGGGTCCGGAATCCGGTCCCGTATGCCAGCATACCAGCCTGTGCAATCATAATCCCGTTATCGATGCAGAACCGCTCATCCGTGGCATAGACACTTCCACCGCGATCCCGTGCCATGATACCCATCATCTCCTGCAAACGCTCATTCGATCCAACACCACCAACAATAAGAACCTGCTTCGATCCAACATGCGCCATTGCGCGCTCGGTGATCTCAACAAGCATTGAAAAGACAGTTTCCTGGAGGGAGAAGCACAGATCTGCGCGTGTGGGCTTGCTTTCCAATGACTCGTCCGCAGCGGTAGTAGAATCAGCCGTTTTCTGCTCGTCTTCTCGCGCCTTCTCTTCCCCGCCTAGCCCCCATTGCTTAGCGAGCCCATCGATCGCAGCCAGGATCCCGGAGAATGAACAGTCCATGCCCTTCACGACATAGGGTAGATCGACTAGCTGCTTTCCTTGCTTCGCTAGCTGTTCAATGTTATATCCCGGCGCTGGGTCGTTGGAGATGTGCAATGTGCGCGCGAACCGGTCTCAGACAGTCCCCTACTGCCATATCGAGGGTCTCGCCGAAGATGCGATACCGCTGCGAGCTGTATGCAATGACTTGTGTGTTACCACCGGAGACGTATAGGACGACTGGGTTTGTTGCGCCGGTAATGAGTCGGCCCATTTCGATGTCTGGAGATTCACATTGTCAGCGGTTTGTTCGAGTTCCAACTCCAAATAGCAGGCACTGTCTATAGCAGTGTGTGTGTGTATACGTACGTCCAACACAGTGGTTTACTCCGACTAGCTCTTTGCCCCAAAGCAGACTCAACATCCGCGCGGCGATCACCACACTCTGTAGCGGGGCACCCATTCCGGGTCCTTTGGTGAAACAAATGCAGTCCACATCATCGACGGTGACCTTCGCTTCTTTGAGAGCTTGCTTTACCAGCTTCACAACCCATGATCGGTGGTGGCGCGCTGTATCCTTGGGTAGGAAGCCCTCGCCTGGCGGGGAGACATAGGTGTGTCTGATATTGGCGAGGACCTGCGGGGGACTACCATCCTTGGGATGCAGCATGATGCCGATACCCAATTTGTTGGCGGAGCCTTCCATGCCAATTGCGATCATGATGGGCGGTATTTCAAGGTACCAATGAGAGTGTATCAGTTGAAAGCCAATAGAATCATACGCAATGTATGAGACCTCTGAAGTCTATGATTTTCGTTATCGTTATCGGCGTTAAAAGCGGCACCCGTCGGTTGGCCCAAACTAAGCCCGAGCTACCCTTCTCGACTTTAGTTTGCATACTCCCGACTCTCTTCTTCTTTCCCCTCTTCTCCATTATATTTTCTTCTTCCCTACTGGTATCCACTTCATTTCTTCCTTCATTTTACACCCTCCTTATACTCCTCCTTTCCCTCCCGAGGGATCTCCCCCGTCATGTCTTCGACAGCCCACTTCCCCGACGCCGAGGGCTTTCAACAACAGTCTGACAACTTCATGTCATGGTTGCAAGCCAGCCCCGGTGTGCAGCTCAACCCCAAACTCAGACTCGCAGATCTTCGAGCCACTGGAGCGGGTCGTGGTGTTGGTAAGTGTCCAAAAAATCTATTCTCCAACCACACAAAAACGTCTACGGAGTCTTCCCAAAATGAGAGTCCTATAATTGTCATAGCCAGTCACTAATATATTACTTGGCTCTAGTGGCACAAAGCAACATCTCGGAAGGTGAAGAACTATTCTCGATTCCGCGCGCCATGGTCCTCACCGTGCAGAACTCAGAGCTGAGGACCCTGCTCGGGGAGAATCTAGAGGAGCAGATGGGTCCGTGGCTCTCCCTGATGCTGGTCATGGTGTATGAATACCTGCAAGGAGAAAAGTCGAGATGGGCTCCGTATTTCCGAGTTTTGCCTTCTCGTTTCGACACCCTGATGTTTTGGTCGCCTGCCGAGTTGCAGGAGCTGCAGGCTAGCACTATTGTTGAGAAGATTGGTCGTTCAGGCGCCGAGGAGTCGATTAGGAACTCCATCGCTCCTATTTTGGCAAAGAGGCCGGATCTCTTCCCTCCTCCTCAAGGTCTTGCGTCTTGGGAGGGCGATGCTGGTGATGCTGCCCTTATCCAAGTGGGCCATATCATGGGGTCCCTCATTATGGCCTATGCCTTTGACATCGAGAAGTCTGAGGATGATGATGACGAGGGAGAGGCTAACGATGAGAGTTACATGACTGATGACGAAGAGGAGGAGCAGCTCCCTAAGGGTATGGTCCCGCTCGCGGATCTGCTTAACGCTGATGCGGACCGAAACAACGTGAGTTTGGATACGATATTTTTCTTCGGCCCTAAGTCTAACCCTCTTCCATTAGGCCCGTCTCTACCAGGAAGAAGGTGCCCTAGTCATGAAGGCAATCAAGCCAATTCAACAAGGCGAGGAAATCTTCAACGATTACGGAGAGATCCCCCCGCGCAGATCTCCTCCGCCGATACGGCTATGTGACCGATAACTACGCTGTTTACGACGTGCTTGAGCTATCGTTGGAAACCATCTGCGAAGCCGCAGGACTTCCCAACGCAGATGTCGAATCCCAGCCCCGACTTGAGTTCCTCGCAAGCCTCGACATCCTCGATGACGGCTATGTAATCCCCAGGCCTGTGAACGCCAACCCGTCTTTGCAAGACATACTGCCAGCCGAGTTGGTGGTTCTTCTGGCTACGCTGACTCTCTCCGCCGAGGAGTTCAAGCAGCGTGTGTCCAAGGACAAGGCTCCTAAGCCGGTCTTGGACGCCAATTCGACCGCTATCTTGATCAAGGCGCTGCAAAAGCGACAGGAGCAATACGCTACGTCCCTGGCCGATGACCTCCAACTTAGGGCTTCGCTTTCTCCGTTGCCCGAGACTGGTGACGTGGATGAGGGGGCTCGTCGCGTACGGATGGCCTTGCAGGTTCGCATTGGCGAGAAGGAGGTCTTGCAGGCTGTCTTGGGCATGCTGCAGCCCGCTACTTCTAATTCATTGAAACGTTCCGCCAACGGCGATGATGGCGAATCGCGCCAGTTCAAGACGCAGAGGGTGTGAAAAGCCCTTTGCTCTTGCGTCTATTTACTACGGCCGATATCAGTCTGTTCTACTGAACCCCAACAGAGCCAAAAGAAAAGTGCTTCTTGCGAGTGATTAAATTGTTTTAGATTTTCTGAATGTTTTTGAGCCTTTTTCTTTGCCCTCCCATTCATCGCTTGCATCATAACTTCGGTTATCCATCATACAAAGGCTGCCCGACACCAGCCAACACCACCGAGATTCGGGAGAAAAAAAGATACTATGTACACTAACAAATGCAGACGCGCTCAGCCACGAATGGCTAGCACCTGCGTCGAAACGAAATGTCGAGGAAGAGATGTGTGAGAAGGTGGGTGGAAACGCGGCGGGAAAAAGAAGAGAAACAGGGCATCAAACCAGCCAGCCCGCGGAAATCATCGAAACATGAGGGAGTACTAAAACTACAGTGTGGTAAAAGGGGGAGGGGAGACAAGGAAACGAAGGGATGAGAAAAACAGCGCCACGAAGAAAACGCCCGCCAAATGCTGTGAAAGAGAAAAAGGGGAAAAGAGTCGTTCAGGTCTCTGACACCGCCACAGCACCTGGTCCGAGATTCGACCCCATGGAGCCTGGGTGTTGACCATTTTGCTCCAGCAGTCGTCGCTGAGCCTGTGCTTGGGCTGCCTGTGCTTGCGCCTGCGCATGAGCCTGGGCAGCCACTGCAGCCTGTTCGCGCGCCTTGGCCATGGTGATAGCCCGGTGCTGCATGATTTGAATGCTGTACGCATCGGTATCATAATCGTACTCATCGTCGGAATCTTCTTGGTCGAACTTGAATCGGTCGGCCTTGATTGGGTCCATCTCGACTTTACGGGCTCCCATGTTTCGACGATCGATCATCAACCGGCCACCACGTCCAATTCGTCGTCGGAAAGATGGCATACGGTGTGGTTCGTCGTGCAGTTCCACGGCGTGCGATGCAAGCTTGTCTCTGGAGAAGAGCGGGCTAGTGACGTCTAAGGAAGTATCCATATCACCAGATGATTCTGACGATGGAGGGGTGGGCAACTGTGCCGTGAATGCGGGTCGGAAGGTAGCCACATCGAATGTCCTTTCTGGAGAAGGAGAGAGTGGTGCACGGGTGTGATCCACGTATCCCTCGTTCCACTTGATGTGCTTCGTGATGTTCTGCTTGATATCGCGCAGAATCTCGTTCTCTTTCTCGGCCTGGACGTCCTCCAGTAGCTGCAAATCCTCTGCGCCCTGCCCAGCTTTGAGGGGCATGCGCAGTTGAGGAGCATTGGGACGTTGAGGCGGCATATCGAGCACTCTCTTTTTCGGCTATGGGGTGAACGGTTAGCATATGCATATATTGAGCGATCACAATGCCCATGCTTACCTTTTGGTTGATGAGGTCCTCATCATCGTCCTTGATGTTGAGCTTGCGCTTCATCTCCTTGACCTCAGCACGTTGCTTGAAGAGCTGTCGCTCCATGGACAGCATTTCCCTCCGAGCAATTTCGCGCTGGCGCACCAAAGCAACGAGCTCGCGAGCATCTTCCAGCTCTTTGCGAAGACGTCTAAGCTTTTCGGCACTCTGCGCATCTCTACCACGAGTCTTGCGGATCTGGCGAACCTCGCGTCTACGGAAACAGACAAATGGATCACTGTCGTCGGTGTCTTGGCCAGTCTCGAACTGCGGAGATTGAAGTTAGTGATGTTGCATGGCCAATGGCATGGGACAATAACGTACCTTGAGCTGCGGTACGAGTGCGTTATTTTGAACAGCCATCCGACGCGACTTCCAGTGCTCATATATTTCCTTGGCAAAAATCTTCATGGGATCTTCTAACGTGGCATCCATCATGTCTTGCATATCTGCAAAGGATAACACCGGGGGATTATCAATCGATGCGTATGGCTGCTTCATCTGCGCCGTCTCCTCAAAGAAATTCATGACCTCCTCAAAGATATCCTCTGTGCAACGACCAGCAGATGGATCGCGCTTCTGGTTCATGATCTTGAGGAAGACATCATCTTCCTCTGTCATATTGTAGGGGCATCCGCAACAATCCTCGACGGTCGAGGAGAAGCGAATGTACGTCGCAGGTTGCGAGAAGATGGGAGGATAGAGTTCGTCATATTGAAGAATACTGAGAATGGTCTCGGGAGTAGGGATGTGTGCCTCATTTACTTTGCCCTGGGCAGTGGCATTAATTGCGCGTTGCAGGTGAATTTCCTAAGACGATCCGAGGTCAGCGCGAGTCGTTTTATATTGGGGTGAAAATTTCGTGTCATTTTGGCGATACTGTCACGTGACTGGGATAGGGATGAGGCTAAAATTAGTGACTCACCGACTCCTCGGCCTTTTCGACGCCGGTTTCGATCTGCTGTAGAGAGCTTTGGATTTCATCGTCGATGGCATCGATCTCTGACTCCCGGACAACGGGGATGGATGCCTTGGAGGTGAGCTTTTTAGGGCGCGTCCTCCCCAGGCCCCCGTACCGAGTCATGACGTCGGGACGCGCAATAGAGCAACGACCATGGGCGGGGACGGGGTAAGATGGGAATCAGAATAAAGGTCTGTTCATGCGCTTTCTCGTAGACGTATTTGTGAGATGAAATTCGATGGAAGGGGGAGATATTGACGACTGAAGATGGGGTGATTCACGGCTAGCGGTTGGGTTGACGTTGTAATGTCAGCCGGCGGTGGCCTGTTTTGGCCGAGTGCACGGCCTCAGGGGCTCGCTTGCCTGTCCGCTTCCGGTTAGTGCGGGGCTGGGCGATATCAGATTCCCCGGGCCCTTGGCAATAACAACTCTTCTGCCTCCTCCTTGTGCTGTCTTGCTTGATCTGTCTCCTTGTATTTGGTGTTCCACTAGTCCCGTGACCTTTATTTTCTTTCCCCATTGCATAAACCGCCACTGCACCTCGTTGCTGTACCTCGTTTCCCTCTCCAACCATCCACCATGGACCAGCCGCCCCCCCCCAATGAGCCCAACGCTGCTGCGATTTACGATGCGCGGAGGCGCCGAGGCTCCGTGGGTACCACCCAGCTCTTCGATAACATTGTGTCTACATCCAACTGTACGTTTTCCCCGGTCGGATATGGTGTCAAGGCGATGGATCGGGGTTGTGGCTGACTTTGCGACAACAGTCAACCGGGACGAAGTGGATCGCCTGCGCAAGCGCTTCATGAAGCTGGATAAGGTCGGTTACGCGCGACGGACTGTCAGAGGATATTCTAGCATACTAAACAGTCTACAGAATGCTTCCGGCACTATTGACCGCGATGAATTCCTCTCCCTTCCCCAGGTGTCGTCCAACCCTCTCGCCACGAGGTTCGTTGCTCCCCGGACATCCAATCCACACCCCCACATACGATCTACGATCTACATATATTATAACTGGATCCTAACCTATATTTATGATAGAATGATTGCCATCTTCGATGAAGACGGTGGCGGTGACGTCGACTTCCAGGAATTCGTGACCGGCCTGTCAGCATTCAGCTCAAAGGGCAACAAGCAAGAGAAACTGCGATTCGCATTCAAGGTGTACGACATTGACCGTGACGGCTACATTTCCAACGGCGAGCTGTTCATTGTGCTGAAGATGATGGTCGGCAATAACCTCAAGGATGTGCAGCTGCAGCAGATCGTCGATAAGACGATCATGGAGGCTGATAAGGATCAGGATGGAAAGATCAGCTTCGAGGAGTTCACGGATATGGTTGAGAATACGGACGTGAGCCTCAGTATGACACTGAGTATGTTTTGAGCCGCTTTGTCTTGCTGGGAGGTGTTCGTGCTGACTATGGGCCCAGATCAAATATGATTGCCTTTCTCACTGGTTGAGTGGCGATGTATTCAGTGGATGGTGTTTATTCTTTTCTTGGTGCTCGGCTTTCTCTTTCTTGGTCTCGACATGACATGACATGACTCAATGATCAGCGACGTGTTTGTAGTTTATTTTCTCCCGATATGGGAAGGACATATGGAAATTATCTCCCCATGACCTCTTTCTCCTGGCTATCTTTCGTCGCGCTGTCAATTTTCCGTCGGCACAGACACCCAGTGTCAATGGTGACGCATAATACTACCTTGGAAAGTATATGCATGACGAACCAAAGTATATCAAAGTACAGTATCAGCCACTCCAACCCCTTCCCTGACTATACAACAGCACCCTCCCCAATTCAACAACTCAACAACTCGACTTCCAACAAATCACCTACGCATCCCGGTCCCTACCTCACATCAGCAAGTCTGGCCAGCACACACTCCAACCTCAACCCAACAAGCAACACCCAAAACAAAGCCTTGACGTTTCAGCCGCATGAGCAACAACCCCCGTTCTCATCCGGACCAACCCTGATTACCCACAACAAACTAACCTCGGCAAACACCAGTTCCCCTCCCTCGAACTTTTCTTTCCTTCTGGACCGCAGTCTCGTGGACCGGATGACCCCCAACCAACGAGTTGGGTACGGGAGCAGCCACCATGACAAATCCTTGTTCGCCCAGCACTTGCGGATGCAGATGGTGCATCTTGCGTCTTATTATTGCCTTAGCCTTTGCAGCATACACCACACGCGCACTCTCTCACCCACTTCTTCTATTCTTTGTTGTTCTTGCCGTTCTCCCGAACCTCGGCTCCCGTCCCATCCCTGTCTGCATACATATGTAGTCTGTGCATGTGGCCACGCCGGTATGTATATAAGGAAATGAAACGCGTGGAAGGTATAAGGTAAAAAGGTAGGTATACTTTGGTATTCACTGTGTATACTGTCGGGCTTGTCGACGCGGATTGTATATACATTCGATAGTATATACATCTGTGACTACTGACTACAGATGTATACATGTACACATGTACTCCGTAGCTACCTAGGTGGTATGTATTGTATGTCTATGCCACATATTATCTACCATTCCCATCATCGTGCACCCCCGTCTCGGGACGTCCGTGCTCTGACTGGGTAACCGGACTGGATGAGCGTGATGAGACGATAATTTCGGAATTCCGAGGCACTGGAT